AACTGAAGTGTTCAAGGCTGCCAGACGTGATTACATTAGATTTTCTACTTTGATGTAGTATCAAGGGAAATTCAAAGTTTGTTTTTCAAACCTTGTTAAAAGAGTGTTTCTCCTCCTTACAGTCCCTCCTTTGTGGTTGATTTGTTTATTTCTGTGCTGTTTTTTAAGAACATGATTTTTTTTTATTTTGATAAATGTCTCAGCTCAAAGATTGTTGATCATATAATGATTCATTTCTATTGGCAGTTATAGTTTTGTCATCTCCAAAAAAAAGTCACGTTTAGCTGAATATTATGGTGGTATTTAGAAGGGGTTTTACTACATAAATATTTGTATTTTTTGTCCGATATGGTTTTGCGAGACAATGTGTTTGAATACAGTCAGATATTGTGCTATACACGTATTTATATTGACAAAAATTTGAATGCTTTTCACTAGTGGCAAACCATGACTATTAGAGCTAGGCCTTCAGTTCAGATTATAAATGTCAAAATACAAGAACACAATGGAGTAATTTCATGACAGTTTTCATTTCTGCTAGCGTCTAAACAAAGGGATATATAGTAGTATATTAGTTCTAAGCTCTTCTAGGTTAAATATGTGCATGCAAGTCTCATAAAAAACATGCCATGTTCAACTTGAAGCTTGAAACAGACATTAGCATGTATGTTTTTTACCTTGCTTGTTGCAGTTTTACAGTGACTCTTCAGTAAAGAGCCCCGGAGAGTGACATTTTTCTCACAAAATGTGTCTTACACATTGAAAATCAAAATGTGATTGATTGACTCCACTGTTAATTATGCTGGTGATTAATCTAAAGCATAAGGCCTTCTGTCCACCTCCTGAAGGCATAACCAATGGGAGAGCTAGCTTGAAAGTATCTACCTAGAGACCACAGAGATAAAAATTCTCATTGGAGAATTTTCCATTCACAGTTTCAAGATTTTAACCTTTTTGCTTCCAACCAAAACTTAACAATGAAATATAAGTGTTATTACAATACTGTAGCATCTGTGCAGAAGCAAACCCAGGGTCTGCCACTTTCTCAAAGGAAAATGCTCTTTATTGAAACAGCAGAGAAGAGAACTACGGGAGGAAAATGGTGGGGGAGGTCACCAACAGCCAAACATAGCACAAGGACAGTGAACATTGTAACTAGTCCTGTCTCGGGGTCGTGCCTTTGGTGTGACGGGGCCTCCTGGCCCAGTGCTGTCTCTTTTTTCCTCTGCCTTAGTTGAGATGCACATCAGCTCCATATCCATGCGGCAGCCTGACCAATAGAACCTCTGCTGCAACTGCTTCAGCACCTTGCCCGCGCTGAAGTGCTACTAATGGCAATGGTAGCAGCAGCGGCACTCCTCCCAGCCGCCTTCCACTTCCTCTGTTATCCACTGCGTTGACGGTGCCGGCAAGAATGCTGCTCAAGTGTTCCGATGCCAACTCTTCCTGTGTAGGCTTTTTGAGTTCTGGTTATACCAGGTGTGCTCAGCTCTACCGCCAGCACACTTATCCACTCTCCCTTTAGCCTCTGCCTGTCCCAAAGCTGCCGCCTGATTGACCATGCTGCCAGCACCTGTCTGAAACATTGCTGGAGGGCCATGGTCAATGCTACTAGGTGGTCATGTTTTTTCGGGACAGATCTTGTCATGCTTTCACCTCCAGTGCCAGACAAAGCTGCATCACAGCCATGATGTTGGATGACCACTTGCAGTTGTGAGGAGTATGGCTCCCAGATGCACTCTCCTTGAAACCTGGTAAGCGGACGCACATTGTATCCCTCTCACTGAGCTCTAATTGGGCTCCACTGCCTCGCCCATGCTTTTTCCTTTGCTGTCTTCCCCAGCCAGCCATCTCGCTCTCATTTGGCTAGACCTGTCCGGGAGGGGGTGGATGTAGCCCTTGGTACCCCCTTCCTCCAGGCTGTATCTTTTTTTACTGTCTGCCACTGAGTTCTTTGATATGCTGCTCAACTTCTTCCAGCTTGGTGGCCGTATCCCACTACTTACATCAGTGTAGCGTAGATGTGGAAGAAGACCCGGAGTCTGCCATTTTTTCTCCCGTTCTCTCATAATACTTATGAAGTGTAAATATATCAAGCATGGTAATGATGTTAAAAAAATTAACTAAAATTGCAGATGTGTGGTCATATCCCACTACTGACATCAGTTTAGCGTAGGTGCAGAAGAAGACCTGGAGTCTGCCATTTTCTCTCCCATTCTCTCATAATACTTATAAAGTATTGCATGATACTGATAAAAATGAACTGAAATTACAGCTGTGTTCTCTAGCTCCCAGAAAGCATTAGGCCTTCTGTGAAGACCCAAAAGACCTAGAATTATTGTTTCACCAGGTGCTGCAGTACTTCACCATGGAAACCATATTGTGTCATGGTGCAAAAACCGTAATGATGAAATCATGAAATTTGTGTATTGTTACCCTCTTTGTATTTAGGGCAAGTTTAGTGTTTCCTCCCATATTCACAGCCACTGTAGGCTTTCAACTTTCAGAAAACTTCACTGAAAGAGTTCTAGAACATTTGCTTAATTATGCTCTGGTTCAAATTGCTGCCCTGATTACATGCAGGCCAGCCATTATAACTGTATGAATATGGACACATAACTCTCTTCCCACTTCTCTAGAACGTGAGTGAGTGAAATCCATGCAGGGAGAAATTACACTGAAAAAAGTCAGAGAGAGAGAGAGTGAGAGAGAAACCTCCTACCTTTGAAGTATAAGCAGGATTGAGATGTGACGATGCCTGTTCAAAGTTAGCACTCCGTCGAGTTCCGCTGTAACTGTGAGTTACTGAACAGTGCTTTGGCGGAAGGATCCGGAAAGATGATGAGCAGAAGAGGCCTGTCTGTGCTGAAGCGTAGGCTCTGAGATGAAACAGGAACAGGCATTAAATATACATGCTGCCTTGTAAAGGTGTCCCGGATTTTTAGCTGGCTGCTTTTGTGGATCAGAAATGTTAAAAGTGAACATGAGATGGGGAGCGAGTTTCGCAGCTTCGCTGACAAGTTATTTGATCTGCAATAATTGTAAACCCACAGAATTCTCAACTGTCAGATCATAGAATCATAGACATGTTGTAATAAGTGCATGCTGCATGTTTGAATAGGTCTTGGTGAATGTGCACAGTGAATATTGTTTAAACAGGACTGTGGATAGAAAAAAGCTGTTAATATTACACTGTATGGGGTGTTTCAGTGCCTTTGATAGTCAAGGTTGGCCCTGTGTGTTCAGCATTCAGTTTGGCTTTAATTGCCACAGAGTGTATTTTCTGAATACTGTTGATATACGATGACCAAAATACTCCTAGGTTTTACATAGCTTTTTTGGACAGTGTTTGAAGGTGTGTTGTGATATTGTTATGTTTGGTATTGTGGGATTGTGAGTTGTGCTTTGCGTATTTTATTATGTTTCAGTTCCTCTGGTTTCAATATACACTAACAGTCAAAATGTGTTACCCTGACATACTTACAGCATCAGAAAAAACAGACAACGTGTATTTAGCAGAAAATTACACAGCCTCAACAACTTCATAAAATTGTACATTTTTCGGTAATGTATGTGTCTGCCATTTGCTGTTATTGCAGTTCTTTTCAGGAGATTCTTTTAAGTTTTTTAAAATAATCTACAGGGATATTTTTTCACACCTCCAAAGTTCGATCTTAGAAGTTGGTTGCATTTTCTGCCTTTCACAAGACGAGTAAGAACAAACAGATTCACTGATGTTTCTTGACAGCTACACATCCTTTCAAACTCATAGTCTTGAGTTGTCTTCTCACAGTGGATGGATTAAGCGAAACATGTGTAGATTCTTTTCAGACCAGAAGCAAGACTGGGTGTCTCAAAGATGAAAGCTTTAAGTACTGTTTATCTGATGGTGAGAGTTTTGGTGGTCTACCTGGTTTTGCACGGTTGTTGAGTTTCATTTTCTTTATATCTTTTAGGTCATTTTTTGAAATCTAGTTTTGAAAACTCATGTTTTTTCCCTTTGACTTTCCCTCTTCCTTATCTTATGTCTAATCTCCTCAGGAAAAAAAAAATTAATAACCTGTGCTTAATGGCAAATGATATGTGGGTAGCAGTGCCTTTAGATAAGGGATCTCAAACTACTAGCCCAGGAGCCACATGAGACAGCTTCATGTAACCACTGTTATGATATATTTCACTTTTATCAGTTGAAGTTTAAAAAATTAGATTTTATGTTTATGTAATTACATAATTTTTAATGGTTGCAGTACAGCAGCATTATGCATTTATTTTTTTCCACTTCACTAAATTTAGGCCTAACAACATGCCTGTAATTGGGCCATGAGTCACTGTAAAAATCGTAAAGTTCTACTAAACACACTAAACTATTTGTAGTACATCTGCAAAAGGTCTGGATATTTATATGTTCTAGCTTTTTGACAGCAAATTCTAGCCTGTCCTTGACAAAATGCCTTTTTTGAAACCTAAAAGAAAAGTTGACCAAGCTGTTAAATTATTTTTTTCCTGCAATCATTCAGCTGTCCTTCCTTGGAGAAGATGGCCTGACTAGTGGTCTGTAGGTAATTTGAGCTTCAGACCCTTGCTTTAGATTGTATAAAGTGTGACAAAATGGTGTGAGGCGACCATCAAGGCTACATGAAGACCTGATGAAAAACATTTATAGTTGTTAGTTTTCTGTTTGCATAATTTTTTTTTAAATGTGTATTACAACGATCATTATAAAAACAGTGTTTGACAAGTACTTTTAGACAGCCAGTGTGTGAAGTGAGTGGTTTGACTGGCTTGTTCTGTAACAATGGGCTTCATAAGAGTGGCTTGGTTGTGTGCTGGGATGTGTGTATGTGTGAACACGTCTGTATGTGGTGCATTTATGTTGTGTTTGTCTGCTGTTGTTGCAATGCTGTTTTAATGCGATTTCTGAGGGGGAGCGCAGTGGGAGACGTGTCACTCTCGGCAGTGTGTCGCTGATCTCTGTGTGTGTGTGTGTGTTTCTCCTTCAGGTCCAGCAGTGAAGGTGCTGCAGCGCGCCCCTCGGCGTCGAGGCCAGCAGCCCAAGCTCCTGAACAGCCCGGAGGACAGTCTTTACTACAACCAGCTCAACGTGAGTTCAAAGCCTGAATAAAGCCCTTTGTCCGACTTTGTTTCCAGATGATAATACAATTAAAGGTACCTGTGCCAGACCCCCGAGCCGCCCCGGCCTCCCCCCACCACCACCACCCCCACGCTCCTCGTCTGTTGTCTCCAGCATGGGCTTCTGCTCTTTATCTGTTGCTTTCATGTGAGGATGTCTGCCTTCACGGTGAATAATTGATGTGGTTTATCAAAGCCGAGCAAGATGCATGCTTCATCAGGCTCACCCCAGCCCTCTTTGATCAAAAAAAATTATGCTGTGACTTCTGATATTATCAGCATCTGCTCGCATTCAACACAAAATCACTTTGAATTAAAAATTAATGATTCTCTCTCGCATTCGTTCGTTTGCTCGTCTTTTCTGACTCTCTGACTCCATGCTTGTGTGTGTGTGTGTGTGTGTGTGTGTGTGTGTGTGTGTGTGTGCGGGTGCACATTTGTGTGTGTGCTCTCTCTACAGAGAACTCTAGATTACCAGGGGAGCAAGAGGAAGCCCAGAAAACTTGGGTAAATAGCTGCCTTTCCTACTTTCTCCTCACCCCCGTATCTAAACAGAACAGGCCCTTTGTGGAAGTGAGGGATCCAGAGACGGATTTTGTTTTCTGCTAATGTAAATTCAGAGCTCAAAATAAGAGGCTTTTGAATAGCTCTCGCTTTTCTATTATTCTTGGGAGGGAAGAAAAATTGTACATGACTGCAAATTCTAATTGTGAGATACAGTATGTGACCCTTCTCTCTCTTCCTCTCTCTATCTCTGAACTAAAGCCTGTTTCAGTGTGCCAGGTTGGTTTAACTGGATGAGTATTAAGGCCTCTCTCTCTCTCTCTCTCTCTCTCTCTCTCTCTCTCTCTCTCTCTCTCTCTCTCTCTCTCTCTCTCTCTTTCTCTCTCTCTTTTCCCCCTTCTCTCTCATCCGTGCTGGCTATCAGTGCTTCCATTTAAAGGATTAACATTTACTCGCTCTTTCTCCCTAGAGGAAAATAAAGAGTAACGTTCCTGTGAGAGAGCCGTCTAACCCTTTTCTTCCCTGTTTTGTTTCTCTTTACCCCCCTTCTCTCCTGTAACATCTTACTATGCTTTTCTCAACTAAACCTTATTTTTCTCCTTTTCATCCTTTCCCTTCATCTCTTCCATTACCCTCTTTTTTCCCTCTTTTTTTTCTTTTTTCTTTCTTTTCTGTCTTTCTTTTTCTGTCATTTCTAATCTCAGGCAGATCAAACTCCTGGATGGAGAGGATGAGTATTACAAATTGCTTTCCGCTGTGGAGTCCATCCCTGAGGAAGATTTCTCATCCTCTCCACCTCCTCCTCCCTCTCGCCCTGGTCCTGCTCCGGCTCCACCGCTGTCCAGAGGAGCGCTGGTCAGTCAAAGCTGAGAGCATAGCGCACAGTCAGTCTGAGCCTCAGCCGAGCTCACAGCAGGTGAGGGGTTCACACAACTCTCACACACACACACACACACATCACTCTTTCTTCTGCTGTTCTGTACATGCACTACTATTAGATCACTGGTCATTTCCTTTTCAGTTTATGCAAGGCAGTTGCAACTTGGTCAGTTGACGTGATGAATTTACTAATCGCATTAAATTATTGAGTAATTTAAAATATTTAATTAGCTAATGAATGTTTTTTTAATTAAAAGTTTGTTTATTTACATTTTTTGAATTATTGAAATGAATCTTACCTATAGTAATTAGAAAGATTATAGTAAGATTAAGTAAGATTATAGTAACCAGCAAACAGGAAAATCTTAATATTAGAATTAGATTACCAACAGAAAACTCTTAAGGCCAGTTTTACAGATCTGGATTAAACTTAATCCTATGCGAAAAAGAATTTCCAGTGGTGATTCACCCATGGTACTGCAGTCTAGTCCAAGACCAGGAAACCAACCCTTTTTGTTAGAATTGGATAAACAACCAAAATTTTAGGTTACAGGTGAATAAACAACAGAAAATTCTTAACATTAGAATTAGATAAAGAACCAAAAACTCTTTATGTTAGAGTGAGATAAGCATCAAAAACTCTTAGGGCTGGTTTCCCAGACAGGGATTAAACCTGATCTTGGACTATTCAGCATTTTGAATGAAGATTTTTCATAAAAGGAATGTTTAGTCCATGGTTAGGCTCAATCCTTTACTCGGACACTGGCCCATAATTTTAGAATTAGATAAACGTCTGAAACTCTTTTTGTAAGATTTTTAGTTTAGAACATTCCAAACTTAACTAAAATTATCAACAGAACGTGAAGAAATAACAGATTTTATTGTGTTGCAGAGATATCTACTGAAGTTAGAATGCTTATCAGCTAGCCCCGGCCTGTCCTGTCTCGTAATGCCACTTTGTATCTCAAGAGGCTAAAGTGAGTCACTGTAGCATGAAGTCTGCCATCAGTCCAACATTTGTGGATGAAGAAGTAGCTTGTCTGCTCACGGCAAAAAGCCACAAAGAAAAGATGCAACGTAAATAGAAGCAAAACCAAAACAAGAGTTAATATTGGCACTGCTTTCCACCACTGGAGGCAGCTCTTGGAGGGTAAACGGATGAAGTTTGATGTTGAACTTGCAACGTTTCTTCTAGACTGGTAAATAAACAGAAGGAGGAGGTACTGTGGAGTATGAAATCAGCAAGTTGCGTTATCTTACATATTGCTCCTTTAATCCTATGTCAGCCAAATACATCAGTGCCTATTAGCCTTCTTGACCTGTCCGAAGGCTGTTATATATGTATATGAACCACCTCCTTATTTCTATACATTGTCCATTTTATCAGCTCCTTTTACCATATAGATGCACTTTGTAGTTCTCCAATTACAGACTGTAGTCCATCTGTTTCTCTGCCTACTTTGTTAGCCCCCTTTTACCCTGTACTTCAATGGTCAGGACCCCCATAGGACCACCACGGAGCAGGTATTATTTTAGTAGCGGATCATTCTCAGCACTGCAGTGACACCGACATGGTGACGACATGTTAGTGCGTGTTGCACTGGTACGAGTGGATTCGACACAGCAGGGGTTTGCGGTTGGAGTTTTTAAACAAATCAGTGTCACTGCTGGACTGAGAATAGTCCAACAACCAAAAATATCCAGCCAACAGTGTCCTGTGGGCAGTGTCCTGTGACTGATGAAGGACTAGACTTGCATCTACAAGGTGGACCAACAAGGTAGGTGTGTCTAATGTAGTGGACAGTGAGTTTGAAAACTCCAGCAGCACTGCTGTGTCTGATCCATTCGTACCAGCACAACACACACTAACACACTACCACCAACTAACACTACAGTGAGTTTGAAAACTCCAGCAGCACTGCTGTGTCTGATCCATTCGTACCAGCACAACACACACTAACACACTACCACCACGTCAGTGTCACTGCAGTGCTGAGAATGATCCACCACCCAAATAATACCTGCTCCGTGGTGGTCCTGTGGGGTTCCTGACCAATGAAGAACAGGGTGAAAGGGGGCTAACAAAGTAGGCAGAGAAACAGATGGGCTACAGTCTGTAACTGTATAACTACAAGGTATGGTGAATAGAGCTGATAAAATGAACAAGTGTAGAAACAAATAGGTGGTCTTAATGTTGTGGCTGATATATATGTACACACACACATATATACATATAATGCAAGTATCAGTGCCAGAGTGTTTCATAGTCATCATGGATATCAGATAAATGTTTTATCATTCAGCATTTTTCCCCAAGAGATAAAAATCTTTTCTTACTAGCACTGTGCTGTTTTTGTTTAGCAGTATTTGTTCAGACAGAATTAAAGTGGTTGAACCAAAAAAACATGCCATTTATTTTTCAATTAGAGTGCTTAGTCAGCCCCACAGCCCTATCAGCTGCTTCATGTAGGAACACTTTTACTCTTCTACAGTGGAGACAAAAACACTAGAGCCTGGAACAGAACAAATTAAACTCTGACTGTTGTTTTCTCTCTCTCTCTCTCTCTCTCTCTTTCTCTCTCTCTGTGCAGATTTTTGAGTTTTTAGGGCAAAAAACACATTTTGCTTTGATATACATGACAAATGGTACAGATGTTGAAGAAATAAACAGAGAAGTTAATGACAATGCACATTTGATAGGAGATTTAGTATGTGTCCTGTGGTGCAGGGGGATTCCAGACTCATGAAGAACATCAGGGATGTTTTTGTTCCAGAGTCATCAGAGTTCAGAGGAATTGGCTTTAACATGACTCAGAGTCCAGCTTTGTTTGCTCATTCTTTTCTCATGCCAATACACAGACAGACAATGAACGGTAGACTGACTGAAACACTAATATGTTACCTTAGTTAGCAAAGTAAGATAAATCATCATAATAAAGTCCAAATATTAGTTTAGAGTCATTATTTAATTCATACACTCACATTGAGATACACCATTGCTGTTTCAGGATTCTGACACTTTTTAAGGCTGCCTTAACACAATACACATATTAGAAATGTAACAGATGTACAGTGGATGTTATGTGCTGTTAAACTTAGCAAATAAGTAGAAATTGTGCGCCAAAATTTGCAGAAGAATGCCCTGTTAAAGGTTGTTCCCTGTAGAGGACGTGTTAACTTAGAAAATCAACAAAACCTGTAATTTGAACAGGACTTTACATGTAGTATATGCACAGTTTTAATACGTTAACTATGCTATACTTCTTCCCTGCACACTAGTAGAAACACACAGACCTATACACAAAACTGTAAAGACATTTTTTGCGGTCACTTTAATAGTAAGGTTGTTTCTATTGGGCCATATGGGACAGCCTTAATGACCATAGCAGAGAGAGGCAGTGAATGTAGAGCAGAGAGCAGGAGCTTCACAGTGAGAGGACCTCCCATGCTCCCCTCTGGGACTGTATGTGCGTGCCCTTATCGAGTCGGCCCATATCTCCATTTCAAAGCCTCCCATCCACTCAAAAAGTTCAGGACGCCTTACAATGTCTATTCTGTAATTTAGATTTCTGATATCCTTCTTTCATTAAATGTAGCTTATCAAAAACTAATAACGATAAAATCGTTAAATCACGGCCTCCTTGAGGAGTCAGATAACCAGCTTCCTCTCGCTTGATCCCCCTCTGCAAGAGAGAGACACACAGACAGCTCCTAAGCAGAGATAAGGCTGTTATGATCGCGGCACATGTCAAAAAATCCAAAAACTTCCTCCTTCACCGTGTTCATCATCAGCTGTATGCAGACACCTCCCCTGATGAAACGCTGCTGTGGTGGTAGTGGAAAGAGAAGAAGAAAGAAAGTGTTCTGTGAAAAATCAGCAGAAACATGTGTTTTTTTCCTGTTCAGATGTGTAGGGCAAAGCTGTGTTGGCATGTAGATTTGTGGCGCTGTTTTTTCAATTTGCATATCATTTACTTCATCTCCTTTTGTTGACACCCCAGGGCCCAGGCAAAGATTTTGATCTTTATAGGAAGGGTGATGGGACTGAGAGTGCGCTTATACTCTCGCTCTCTTTGCTCTCTCTCTCTCTCTCTTGTGCTATTCTCCCTTCATAGAAAGGTTTGCCAGCTATACAGTTTGAGAGTGAAGTCTCATTTGTGCTATAAAAGTTTAGTAGTGCTATAAATGTAACATTTGTTCAGATGTTATGTCGCCTTATGTTAATGGTGCAGTAAACTTGACCTTATTGTTATGTTAATTTGCTTCTGAGAGTGAAACATATGTTTGTTAAAGAGTGACCAACAGCCATTTGTGTAACACCTTCCACAATAATTGGGCTAAGTAGTTTCTCCTTTTTTCATCTCAGTTCCTAACGAATATCTTTATTTAAACAAAATGACAGGATTCAAGATCAAAACCTTGACACTGAAATAATTGCACAACACTATAATGCTTCTAGTAAAACAGCGTGTGTAGTACCCTCTGTGTGTGTGTGCATGTGCTCACATGTATTTCTGAAGCCCCAATTATAATTGCTGCCCACTGTGTCCAGTGTTGCTCTGGTCTCTCTGGATCGAGAGGTAATTAGAATATTCCTTGTGCATTATTCCCTGTCTGAGAACATCCCATCCCTCAGAAGCACTCGGTCTGAAATAGGTCACTCCAACAGCCGCGAGTGTCTCTTTAAACTACATGGAATCCGTTAACGGAGATCTTGCTCCCCAGATTATTTTGGCCCTGCTTTGGCATGGAAATCAATTTGGAAAAAGCTCTCAAGTTTTTTTTTGTCTCAGTGAAAACCACTGAAGTGCAGTGCCTTGGTGGAGTTTTTCTTTCACTAATTTCCTCCTCTTGTTGCCATGGGTCCTGGGTAACCACTACCCTAGAAAAGCAATCACAGACTTGCAAATTAGTTGAGCATGACACTACTTTATATGATATATTGTAGACCATAAGATCACTTCATGCACCATCGTACCTTTACAGTGTCAGACAAAATTGCCTCATGTTCAACTAGCAAGTAGTAATTGTAGAACTTCGCAGCCCTGGATTTTGCTGTAAAGGCCTGAGTGAAGTAAACTGCGTAGGTCTTGCACCTGCTTTCTTTAATACCTCTCCATAAAAGCATGATTGCCCTTTGTTTTCTTCTCATTAAAGAGCTGTGCGCATCTGGAGCTGCAGACAGACTCTTTTAATGTGGTTCATGTTGTGCACCACTGAAGTTATTCCTTCCATTTTAGCTGTTTGTTCTAAACTGTGTTTCTTCCCTTTTTCTCTGTTGCACCAAAAGCAGCGCGCCACCTTTCAGATATTTCAGAGGCATAATCCTTCAGTGGAAGGTAGAAAAGTATTTATTGTCAGACAGGATACTCTGTCTCATATTAATAGTGAGGGCAGACTTCAAAGGATGAACACAAATAGACTTGCATTGTCCTGCCTCTATATCCTCCAGAGTTCAAAGAGAGAGTTTGAATAGCAGTGTTTCTAAAGCTTCTCTTTCAGACCTGCTGAGATGTAAAGCAGGTAACCTGCTATTGATACGCGCACGCACACACATACACACGCACACATACATACATGTGTGGAGTTGCTGTTAAACGTTCTCTACAAAGCTCCGTGCAAACACCATGCAGTATAATCACGGAGGTACGAAAAAGCTTTGAATTAAAGCACAAGCTGCGCGCGAGTCGTCTTAGCGGTGCGTCCCTGCTGTCTCTCTTTAGCGCTGAACGAACAGGTAGTTTAGGATATCGGCAGATTAAGGCTGTGATGCTCTTAACCTCGTGTTGTGATTGATGCCTGAGTGAGGGACAGGCGTAACAGCCAAACAGATGTCAGATGTGCAGGGGGGGCTCTGTGTCAAAGTACCCTCCCTATAGACTGCATTAATGAAGAGAGAAAGAAAGAGAGAGAGAAGGGGAAGGAGATAAAAGAGAGTGTGGAGTATGCACATCAAAGAGTTGCTAATGATGGGAGATGCCATTAGGGGTTGTAGTGGCCTTTGTTTCGGCTTCCTAACACCTGCAATTTGTTGAGGGCTTTCTATGTGCCACTGAATTACCCACATTTGCATGACCACTGAGCGAATACAAAAAGGGATAAAAAGTAAGACCCCTGAAGAGTTTGTGTGGGCTATGCCCCAAACGCTACTCCACTTCTCTTAAGGAATAGCTAAGTGATTACGGAGTTGATGCTGCAACACGGCTTGAGATTTGCTGAACTAGATGCCGTCTGTGCCAGTCATGTCTGAGATGTGTCTGAGAGTATAAACGCAATAGAGGCTCTCGGTGCCTTGTTGGTCCGAGGTTGAAGTAGAGCAGCGCTTTACTGTACCAAGCCATATGACCATATGGGTGAGCATGCACTCCGTCTCCTCTGAAAATGAGCTTATTTAACGTTTCTGTGCCTGCGGGGGTTGGAGGGAGCTCTGGAGAAAATCAGAGCGTGAAATTGCGATTAGCCCCTGTTGTTTGTACGGACTGAAGGAGGCTACAGGACTTGGCATGGCCGAAGGTGTAACCTGTTTTGTTTGGCCTTGCTGAAGCCCTCCCAGATGGAGCGAGCAGCTGCCATTGAGTAAATGCGGGGTGGGTGCACGCAGCAAGGACAGCTCAGGCCCCGTTTAGATTCAGGGAGGCAAAGCGACAAATCTGTCCCTCACAGTCAGGAGCAGCAGCCGAGAGAAACTCCTCCAGCTACACACCCAGCTCTCCAGATTCACCTCCAAACTCTCTCTCCTGCATGACTGCTGTATCCGGCTCCACACTGCACCTTCTCTCTGTGCTCATAGTCTTCAAGAGTGGGTGGATCATAAAGCTTATCAAAACTTAATCTGCTTCTCTATCGTAAGAGTTTTTGGGTTTGGGTCAACTTTTCCATTATAGTTTTAAATGTATTTGATCAAAATTAAAGGTTTGTACAAGCAGTTTGTACAACACTGAACTTCAACAGTTTATCCTATAGGGGGGTTAATTGTAACAGATGGTGGGGTTAGTCATATATATGTGTATATATATACATATACATGTGTGTGTGTGTGTGTGTGTGTGTACATTTATATATATTCACTAAAATTAATATGATTAGTGAAATGAAGCTTTGACTCAAAGAGGAGTACCCTTTTGAAAAACTCCAAAAAATGACTGTTTATGAATGAATGACTGAATTTATAAGAGGCGATATGTATTTCCCTTATTGCCTATTTTAGGAGGCTTAGTTGCAACACTGTGTTAAAACTAACCCCACCATGTAGAGGCTGTACTTCAGCCTGGCTAGCTTTCAATGTGAGTTGTTTGCTTGCTTTAAAACAGTGCTGTATTACAGCCACCATGAGGGTGATTAAAATAATTAGTGAATTATGTGACTTATACCAACAACCCAGTAATCATGAATCTTGAGAAATATCTGACCGATTGCTGTCAACATTCACAGATGATGTTGCTATGGTAATACGTGAACATGACTAAAAGGATGTTCTACAGAAACCTATTTAACTACATAAAGCATCCATGTTACATTTTACCCCCATGTTAGTTTGTGGCCTTCTCTTCCACACTATTTGCAGTGAAACGCAAGCCCACAATTCAGTTCTTCATATTAGTCTCATAGTAATTACTGAATAATAAGTCTAGCATTCAGGGTGTTAAAAATTAAAGATAAATTCTGTATTTGAGCATTTTTGCTTTTGCAGACATGAAGTTCATAAAGCAGTGTGGGTGGTTGGGTCTAAGAGGTTTTATGTATCAAAAGAGCCTATTGAAAAGGGTTGTTGTGTTGAACCTTGGCTTTCTAGTAGAACAGATTTCTTTGCCTTTCTTTCATATTTTATACATGAGTTTGATATGTCACTTTGTTGTAAAGTTCATTTTGGTCTAAAATGAGTATATCAACTAGTAATTACATTTTTCATGTGAAAGAAAGCAATTTAGCATAGTTTTGTATTAAAAGTGTAGGGAGTCCTTGAACTGAGTTTTTATGTAGAATGTGAATAGTAATTAGAAGAAACTATGAATTCCAAATGAGACATTTAATTCAGCAACAAAGCCGGTCTCACTTTTTCCCAAGGACAGACATCCATAGCACCAGCATTTAAATATTATTCTAAAAATAACGTGAAGATTTGAAAATCGCATGTTCTGCTGCTATTTCGCGTAACTCAGAACTGATCAACCTGAGGAAGGCAGAATAGCAGAATGTGACCCCAGCAATTACCTTGCACTGACAGCCCCCAGCAGCCCACAGCCAAGTTGCCACACACGGAGCTGGGGCCGCTGTTTGAATGTTGACCTCTCCCTCCTCTCGTGACCCCCGGCCTGTCTGCGCACCGCCTGGGCTCGGCCTTTAAACATGCAGCCTTTGCTTTTGCCTGGCAGCATGAAGAGAGGCAGCCGTATCAGATTTCAGGGGAAAATGTTAGAGACCAGGGAGTGCGGAGTTGGGCTGCAGCGCATTGGAGGCTGAGTACAATGGCAGCTTTCTGTCAGGCAGGGACTTCAAAGGCTCGCTGAGTGACTGCTCTGAGTTAGACTTTGTTGTAGATCACTGAGGAAATTCACAGATGTTTTCTCATACGAGACACCATTACAGCAGCTCAAGTACCCAGTAGCCCCGAGCATTTCTCTCTCTTCTCTCATTTCTCTCTCTTTCTATCTTTCCTGCTCCTTCTCTCTCTTTCCCGTGCTCCCTTTCTTGTGTGGGAGACAGATGTGGAACCAATTTTTTTTTCTCTTTCTTCTTTTTTCTGCAGTCTGTCCAAAGAACATGAAAAGTTAGACAGTTTATTCACTTTGACCTGTCTAAGAGAGAGTCTCAAAATAAAGTAGCTAAAAATGTCAGTGCGCTTCTTTTTTTGGTCTACTAAGTTACAGTTTAGTAGCTCAAATCGGTAAAAGTGACAGCTTTAAACAATTAAAATTGATTTTTTCATGTAATTTAATAAAGACAAATGTATTGACAATTTCTTTAGTCCTCATTAATTAAGCTCTCTCTCTCTCTCTCTCTTTCTCACAGGTTGCCTTCTTCAATTCCTTACCAATAAGTGTATGTATTACACTCTGTGGTGAGACATCGTAATTTATATATTTATTAATCATGTGAAGTTTATTTTAAATAATAAAGATGTTATTTAACTTGAGATAGATTCTGCAATTTTTGTGGTTTAATTCATGTGAATGGCAGGCCTTTCCACTTTTAATACTGAGCATAATTTGCCAACTGTTGTAAAAAGTGGATTCTGTGCTCATTATTATGTTATCTCTTATCTTGGTTTTCTGTCATTTCGTGACTGTTACAGATTTGCTGGACATTGTAGACTCACTATTCACAGTCCATTCGATCTATTTGTGGACAGTGTGTTGTACTTTATAAGTCCACTTTGTGAGAGTTGTATGTATGGATGTGAACATTGGCTGGGGTTCACCATTATAACACTGAAAAGATTGTACAACACCTGGGAGACCTTGCTTAAAATAGGGGAATTCTGGTCTCTGACTGCCTGTATTTGTAGTTTTCATTTTCCAACTTTAGTTACACATTTACTTCAAACCAGTGGGGCGCAGTGGAAGATGGTGAGGTTTGCTCAAGTAATAAGTGAAGCCTCATCTTTCACATGCAGCAGACATGATCGTGAATGTTTGTTTGGGTGGGGAGGGGGGGGGTAATTGTTTGTCTGAAGTCACCCTTGTACTGACACATTTGACATCATTCTTTTTTTCATCAGCTGTGTTTTGTACCATATCATTTGAGAGAAATAAAGTTGTTCAAGATGCCTCAGTGTCATTATCTACTCATTATTTTGGTTAGAAACACACTCTACAGACTGCTTTCTTAAGCTTTCTTATGATAACCTCTACAGAACTGTCTGTGACTGTGAAACCTTCATTAGAGTTCTCAAAAACTACACATTACGTATACATTAATAGACTAACAAATATTACAGCACTCCTAATGTTCAGTGATCAAATGGTCAGTCTATGTGAGCTTCAAGGCTTGTTCATGTAAATCAGAGCTAATAGTTAATGCACAGCTGAGCATATAGAGTTGAGTGTTGGCCTCACACAGTTGATGCTAATGTGTCTTACATTGTGAAAAAAAAGTATTGATAAATTGAAATGTTGGGCATCCGTGACAATCCTCTGTGGGTTGCAGGAAAACAGAGATAGCCTTTGGGCCCAGCGGGAACCCCCCTCTGCCCCATGAGCCGTGGGAGAGGACTAGGACTGCTAATCCCTTCAAAGCAACCGATCCACTTCAAAATCAGCAACTGCAAACTTTTGGGGGACAGTGGTGCTTCTTGTAGAAAGGCCAACTAAAAATATGTGTTGTTTTTATTGTGTCCGTCACTGATCCTCACACAGGTCTATATGAAAAAATAGGTTCCCAGTCATTTTACCTACTTTTACCAACTCTGACTACCGCTGTTCTTATTTGTTATTTAGCCAAGTGTATTAGTCCTACCCTGATCACTCAGTCTTACAGGTTATGGTGCTTAAAGGTCACAGAGGTTCAGTTGCCTACATAGATAAAGTCTTGAGGAGCTTTAGGTGGAGCAGAGGGAGGGAGTTGAAAAGTGTTTCCACTTTCCTAAAGATGGGAACTCCTCCCTCATTCACACAATCTCCCAGGAAACGCCAAAATAAGACATCATCCTGCTTGAGTCACTTCCACACCTTTAATTAGCCAAGTTAGCCAACTGTGACACCTTAATCTCTTGACAAGTATACTCTGAGGAATCATTTGTCATATTTTTTCAGTAAGTCGCAGTTAGGATAGTATGAATGCTGAGCTGCCTTCCTGCTTTAATGAATGTTAGTGGAGTTTAATTTTATTATGTAATAGACAGCCCAGAGCTGTCAAAGTGAACTGTGCTACCTATTGTGAGAAATGTTTTGTGATGTCTTTTATTTTGGTAATGAGTGACAAAGAATGTAGTATTTTTTCTGCCTTCAGAGAGTTACTCAAGTTGCTTTAAAGCTCTTTAAACTTAGTGTTTTGAATATTATTTTTTTAGATGTTTTTGTTTAGTTTTAGCTGAAACAAAGGAGAAAAAAAGGTTCCAGGACGATTATGAACTTTGTGTTGAATACCATTATCCCGTCTCTTTCGCCTCCCCTCTTGAAGCCATCCAACACGCCCCTACCAAGAGATCTCTCGAGATAACACGGTGGCATTGTCACAACGGGCCACGCTACAAATCCTTAATTACAAAAAGGAGGATCGGGTGACTCCGGCATCCAATACGGGGGTCTCCAGGCGGCGAGGGGTCTTTGATCAAGAAAATCCAATTATTTGTGTATATACATTTCCCACATAGTGATTACTTCATTAATTGTCCCGCCTTTATCTCCACCCTTCCCATCCCCCCTAATAATCAGCCCTTTTATCCAGACCAACAAACACACCATAGGAGCTTTGTGGATTCAAAGGATTTGCTTCCCCCTCTCAAAGAGCCGCTATTCTTTGATGATTGGGCAGCGGCAAACTTCAAAGTAATAAATCTTACTCCTGACTGGCTGGCGGCCCACCAAAGTCCTTATCAAATCCTAAGAAGTGATCCTTCAGTCCTCAGATAGTCCAAGGATATCTTGAGGAGAGGAAGCGCCGAGGCTACACTTTTCCATGAGAAGACGCTTTTTGTGTCATTTTAGCAGCGCTCTGAAACCCTCTGGTTTGAGACTGTGGGGAAGAGAGGAAGGAGAAAGTTTGCCATGGCAGCAGTGGCTGTGCTGAGAAACGACACTCTCCAGGCATTTCTGCAGGTTCGTGCGAACTTTTAAACATTGTTGGGATTGTGCTTTTTCGTTCTTCCTTTTCTTTTCTTTCTTTTCTTTTTTTTTAGAAAGTGTGCGCTACACGTAGATCCACGTGAACTTGTGTTCATGTAGGCATCAAGCTAATCTTCGGTTTGTGAGAGCACACTTTTTAAGTCATATGAGAAAAAAACAAAAATGTTCATTTGTAGATGTAGCATCGTACAAGGTGAGTTTAAGTGAACGTTGAGGCTCCTCGTGACAAAGTTGCGCCTCAGACTTTTTTATTTACCTCTTCACTCCTCTCTCTCTCTCTCTCTCTCAGTCGTGCTTGCTGCTTTTTAAAAATGCCTCTTTTTTGACCATCCAGGACCGTACTCCAAACTCCTCGCCGGAAAACAGCAAGCATTCCCCTCTGGCACTCTTAGCAGCTACGTGTAACCGGATCGGCCACCACCACGGCTCCAACCCGGCGGAGTTCCTCCAAGTCCCGTACGAAACCACGCTCGGGTCCCCGTCGCGGATTTTCCACCCATGGAGTAACGAGGCGAACCCCACGTCCAACTCCTCGTTCGGACTATCCTCCAAACCGCAGCTCTCGGCGCACCTGCAGGGCTCCTACACTTCCCACCATGAGCTCCCGCTGACCCCGCCGGCCGACCCCACGTACCCGTACGACTTCTCCCCGGTCAAGATGCTGCCGTGCTCCATGCAGTCCACCTGCCCGCCCACCTACGTCCCGGCCGTCACGTACGCGGCACCGACCCCGATCCCGCCCGCCATGCCGGGCTTCGTGACGGGACACTCGGGCCTGGTCCACCAGCAGCAGAGACAGCTGTCCCCCAACCCCGGAGAGGACATCCCCTGGTGGAGCCTCCAGCAGGGCAACCCGGTGAGCCACCCGTCGTCGCTCGCGCCTCACCGCTTCCCCATCCAGAGGAGCCTGGTGCTGGGGCACACGGACTTTGCGCAGTACCAGAGCCAAATCGCTGCGCTCCTGCACACCAAATCCCCCCTGGCCACGGCCCGCCGCTGCCGCCGCTGCCGCTGCCCCAACTGCCAGTCCTCCAGCGGCTCCAACGACGAGCCCGGCAAGAAGAAGCAGCACGTGTGCCACATCCCGGGCTGCGGCAAAGTCTATGGCAAAACGTCGCACCTCAAGGCGCACCTGCGCTGGCACTCGGGCGAAAGGCCGTTCGTGTGCAACTGGCTCTTCTGCGGCAAGAGCTTTACGCGCTCCGACGAGCTGCAGAGGCACCTCAGGACACACACCGGCGAGAAGAGGTTCGTGTGTCCGGACTGCTGCAAGAGGTTCATGAGGAGCGACCACCTGGCCAAGCACGTAAAGACGCATCAGAACAAGAAGGGCAAACCTCACGAAAAGCCCGCCGAGCACCACGTTAAACGGGAGGACACGAGACACCTATAAGGAGAGCGCGGAGACCGCAGACTGTAGTGCAATACACAGCGAGCTTGATGGAGCCGAGCACACGCAGGCTGGTCTGTCAAGTGGACGTCTGAAACTTTCGTTGAGAAACTGAGGAGTTGATTTCTTCCCGAGGCTCAAAGAGACGCGCTACCTTGGAAGTTACGTTTTCGTTCTTTTTCTGGACTTGTAAATATGATTTTCAAGTCAGTTTCAGTTCTCATAGGGACTCTGAAGAACCTTTCACATCCCTGTGCTGCCCAAACCACTAACAAGTTTTGAACTTGTGTTAAGATCTCTGTCTTCGGTGGAAGATCTCGCATTGTTGTAAATATATATTTAATAGCTTTTGTTGAAGGAAAGTGTCAGTTTTCGCTCCTTGTGGGGTGTTTTAGCATGCTATTGAGAACAAACTGTTAAATAAATTGCTGTGTGAAAAATAAAGAATATTACTTGTTCATCCACTTAAAAGTTGAGTAGTAGGTGTTTTTAAATCAGTTAATGAGTAGGATTTTACACAAAGTAGGGAAAAATAAATGAAATCTTTACAGGCTTGGATAGTTTAGGGTTATCTATATGCACTCTTAGAAAAAGAGGTACGAAACTGTCACTGGGGCAGTACCCCTCTTGTCACTGGGGTGGTACCCTCAAGGGTACATCTCAGTAACTTTAGTCAGGGAGCATAATTGTACTATAATCCATTGAAATTATATTTTCTATGTTGTATTGATTCCACACATCCCGTCTCGTCCCCAGGCTTTTTATTTTATTGTTCTGTTTTAAAACATTTGATTATGAAAAGTACAAATACGTACTTTTCCACTGTGAAAAACTTATTTAAGGTTCACAGATGGACCTTAAAACCTTTTAGGTACATTTACTTTGTTTGTATCTTTATGAATGAAAAATGTACCTGCACAGAAACTTTATTTCTAACAGTGTGGGAAACTGTTTTGAAATCGTAGCTGGCGAAACTGAGGCAACCTTGTTTGTTAGGATGTCACACAAGTCAGCATTTAGGTATTTATGTTTTTACTGACTCTTATGTGATTGTTGTTTTATGATGTGGCTGCCTGACTGCTGACAGTACAACTTTGGACAAGTTTACAGCAAAGCTTTGAAACATTGTGTAGGTAGATTAAATGTATAACTGTCAGAGTTGAAACTAATTTAAGTGCTGGAACTTATATAATATAAAAAACTTATATAATATATAAAATACACATATGGGACTAAAATATATTTGTTTAAATATTGAACTTCTGAATAATAAGCAAAATGTCAAAGAAGTTACACACATCAAAATGCTGGGTTATACCGTAAATGTTAAAAAATAAAAATATTTGCAAATCTATTATATATTAATATAAACATAAGTACAGCTGCAGAGGACTAAGAACTGTCAGATATGAAAATGTGTCGGTATCAAAGAGATGGCACGTTTGCTGTGCACATATGTACTCGCTTAGGTTCTCTTGTGCATTACAATAGTTCATCACAAAAGCACAACGCTGTTTAAGCTTAACTTGTAGGATAATGTGATAAAGCAATGTTCTTCACACATCAGTATTCAGGACTGATAGACAGATTTACACTTACAATAGTGTGAAGAACCTTTTTAAAGTTTTAAAAACCTTTACATAACATGAAGTTTCTATTGGAGCTAACTTTTTTTCCTAGAGCCACACTTCTATGCCAGGAACCATTTCGGAGCCTTTAGATGTACTGACACATCCTTCTTAAAATATAGCACTGCTGGAGCCTCTATGATGCAGAAGGTGCAAGACAAGCAATGGATTTCCACTCAAATTCATATCTACACTGATATTCAGTCAATCATTTCTCACATTTATATGCAGATTTTTAATAAATAAACAGCCTGTGTCTCCAGTACAGCTGTGCTGTGTAGCAAACAAACAAGTGAGTTCACTTTTATGATCTTTGAATTTTGAAACAAAAAGGTGATCAGTCAGTAGCTTCTGCTTGTAATAGTCAGCGCATAAAGAAAACTTTGTATGCTAACTTAAGGCTGAACTCACACATCAATTTGCAGGTTGGTGCAGGACCACCGAACTGATTTTTCTAGTAAGTGAATATAAAAGCACCACTGTGTTGTAACACATCACTGGCAATAAGGTAGACATCACTATAAAGTATCATTCTGTAAAATTTATATCACCTGAGTGACTTAAAGCAGCTTTTAAAGGAAGTGGTCAAAATATGTGAACAAATTCATGTGAAAGTGGTTCTTTGGTGTCAATTTGAGGGAAACACTGCAGCCTTTATTGTAGTAATAGAGTAATTTGTCTTGCAAGAGCGCCCCCCATGGTAAGTGACAATTCATGCCACTAAGGCAGTTCTGTGCAGGTCTATAGCTCAGCAGCTCAGCAAACAATCATCTACAGAAGACATTTTGTCAGTTCTAATTACAAGTTAACATCAGTTCTATGACTAATTTGACCTTGGTATACCAGGCCGGTGCTTGTAGAATCTGTCTGATTCTCATTTTTGTTATGATTATGAATTATTTAGTACTGTGTGGGCTAATTTTCAAGTCTTTAAGATATGCATATGCTGAGAAATTCCTGCTGCTACTTAATTTGGTTCAAAACTTGTGTTTATGTTTTTATGGGTTCTGTTGAATTGCACAGCTGGCATTGTCTAGAATTTAGCTCCATTTTAGAGAAGACTTTGTCCCAAAGTCGAAGATCAAGATCAACTCTTCCTCACTGATCATTATCATCCCCCTCATCAAACCCCCTCGGGAAACTCAGCAAGCCCTCAAATAATTTCCGAAACTTTCATATGATTATTTATTAATACCCAATTACCAAATTTATGTATTCCCAAGCTCTTCTAATGACACATATTCTTCATCCAAACCCCCACAGTGTAATATCAGATCACCAGCATCAATGCAATTGGTCAGTTCAAGTTTGATACATTCATATGAGAGATACCCTGCACGTCCCACCAACACTGAATTATTGAAGAGGTTAATGTTTGCCAAATGGGTGATTTTTGTGTCCAACTGCTGTCTTTACATTTCATTTCAGACATAAAGCTAATAGTGAGCCACCCCAGCTACAAGATATGCATCCAAGTAAAGTACTTAGCTTCTTTTCTTTTGTAGATCAGTTCTCCTTGGTGTTACTCCTGAAGGCGGTGTGCATTTATGCTTTCAGCATGTGCTGATCCCACAGCCTTATCATCTTTTCATGTGTAATCTGTGGCACAAGCAACAATTTGGATATACAAACTAGAGAGTGCTGTGTCTGTGTGCAATGAATCAGACTGACACATTTGCTCTTTTTATTGTATTACATCCCTCTGCATTTTGATGTTTTTTTTTTTCATCTCTCTTTCATTTTTTTTTTACAGGTCTTTATCCAAACTGCTGTGGGATAGCAATGCATGTGCAGCATGAATGGAACCCACTTGAATTTCTTTTGAATTATGTTAGGAAATGATGTAAAACTTTTCTTCAGTTTTCTTTTTCTTTTTTAAACCATCATTTTATTAGACTAGTCACAGGCCTACTCCCTCCACAGTATGTCACCAATATGTAATCTGCATTTTGCTAATGATCATAATTAAATTACCAAGCTCTGACGTCTACAGTGAGTGGTCTCCTCAGATTGAACAATACTGGAGAGAATTATTTAGGTAAATTGTAGTAACATCCTTCGGCAGGATTAGGGTGAAGAAAGTGGCATATTAGACGGTTTATAACTTTATCAACTTTGTCAAAAAATCTTTAACAAAATTGAGCAGATCAACATTTGTCCAGGAAATACATGTGTGAAACACTACCATTAAAATATTATACTATGTAAACTGTAGGCTACAGCTTGTTGAAACATGTTAAAGAAAAATTCAATTCAATTGTCAAGATTTTAAACAAATTAAATTAAAGTGGTTTGATGCGAATTTTTTTAGAGAAACGTATTAAATCTGAACCGTTTACAGTAAATGTGATAGGAACCAGACATCTGAAGAGTTTAATGCTCTTAAATGCTTAACCTAAAGTAGTAGATAGTTTGATTATTTAGCACTTTTTTGCTCTCTGCATTATTCCATGTGTTATTTCATGGTTGGTTTTACTGTCTTCACTATTATTGTAAATATGGAAAATAGTAAAAATATGGAGAACTCTTTTGTAAATATGAGTACTCTTTCGTAAGTAAGGTGTGTCCAAACTTTTGACTGGAAGTGTCAAATGTATGTATATAGTTCTCACTCTCCTGAACAAGCTGCTGTCTGCAAACTGTTTTGCTGCATGTCAGTGTTTAAGATATCTGTTTACTAGGGTAAATAATTGCTGTAGATCTCATTGCCAGAACAGCCTCCATTCCAGACGTTTCGGGCTTTGTACTTGTTATGGGTAATTAAGTTTCATCAACAACTTCTCCAGGAAATAGTGATGTCAGATCTTGTTACTGGCATGTTAAGTTTCCCTGAACCAAGAACGATATGGGCATTATCGCTTAAAATATATTTACATATTGTTAAAGTTACAAACTATGAAGAGTTTAATGCCTCCAAATGCTCCCACACATATAGTTCTGAGACTGTTTTGAGAAGGTTTTTGGCCTCGTATTTTCTTAATTACATTCAAGATGGAGAGGTACATGCAGGGCAATGTAATGCAAAATAGTCCCCAAGACTATATTCAAATTTATCACTATTTTACAATTATCAACGTTACATATAAACACCAGAAGACACATGCAGATTCCCTGGTGGTTTTGTATAGCAAATAAAATGGCTATATTTGAGTTGTAGCCATCACGACCCCTGATTTCTATTACCACCATTGCAAAGAAATTCAAGGTAATAAGTTTCTCTATAATGTATCATTTCACATCAAACCCACTCAAAATGACTTATTTACATCTCAAAATTAAAAAAAAAAAATTATGGAAATCCAATTGTAACGCTTCAGATCCAACCAAGTGCCTCAAAAAGTGGATGGCATTTTTTGGAGTGCTTTTTCAGAGCCAAAGCTTGAAATGTTCTTGATTACCAAGTCAATCACAAAGTATTTCACTCACTGGAAACAATACTGATGGCAAATAGTCCCCAAAAACAAGCAGAAACTAAGAAGTCATCTACATACTTTAAACTTTGGAACCCCTTAAAATGAAAATTCTGCTTTTAAAGCATTTCGTTGTATTACTAATGAAGGACTTCATGTGAAATGACCTTTTCCTCAACTTACTTTGTGTACTTAAACAGAGGTTTTCCAACCACTCCCCCAAAAGTATGCCCTTCTAAATCAGGTACTTTATGGTGCACCCATTGCTGACACAGATGTTCAACTGTACACACATGACTTGTATAATCTCAATTGTAAAGCAGTGCCAATGAGCCTAAGATCATCATGCCCCATGCCAAGTGATGACTAGAGAGGTATAAATCTCTCCAACACTGGGCTGTGAAGCACTGGAGCTACGTTCACTGGAGTGATGAAGCACCGCTAAGTTCTCCTGGGATGAGCTGAAGTGGTGTTTGTGATCCAGAACTAATCATCCAGTATTAGTACCTGACCTCACTAATGATCTTGTGGCTGAATGCAACCAAATCCTCTCAGCAATGTTTCAACAATGATACATAGATAGGTCAGTTTAATGTCATTCTGGCACCAGCAAATTATTGCAACGCCTACAATGTACACCGTGTACAAAATCATAGTCCTACAAGCAATGTCACATGTCTCAGTAGCAACGTCAGCTGTAGTACAGCGTGCCTGTATAAATTTGGAGGAGCAAGATGTGACTTTTCCAACAGGCTGCTGTATTGCACCGCCATCTAGCGGTGGTTTGTGGGTCTGCGGTTTTAAAACCACGCTCATCTTTGTATTTGTTCTCTGTGTCAATGACGAAACCACCCACCACACAAACGTGAACTCCTACAGTGAGCAGGGCGCCTGGACATCACTCAGAGTATCCTACGGTGTCAAAAGTGCTATCATTCATTTTCGAGAAAACGTGAAAATGTTTTCACACAGCTACACTACAAGTAGTCCGGGAATTAGTTTCAGATTTATGGCTAAATAATATTGAACGCAGATTTTTTTAAATGTATATATAATTAACCTGTATTATTATTATTAATGCATTTGAAATAAGCCGATGATATACTCGTCCTTTAATTGAGTGTCTAGTCACCGAGAACTACCTGTCATGTTATTGTATCAGCATTACATGTTTGGGTGAGTGAAGTAGAGGACAGTAAGGTCAGTCAGGGACCATACACCTGAAGAATGCTGAAGAGGCTCTTTGTTATTTGAGGGGTGTCTGAAGGAGCTGTCCAGGTGCTGAAATGCCCCTCTACAGGGGACTAAAGGGATCTGGAGCTACAGAAAATTCAGACAAATCCAGAGAGCGTGCCCACTATTACATTTCATGTCATTTATGGGGCGTGTATTGGGGCAGCAATATTTTTGTAATTCCTTCCTTTTTATGCACAGTCGACAATTCCAATTCATTCAAAATGTTCCAGTGCGACACTGAAATGTTCATATTCGTATTATAATGTTTCAGATGAGAAAGCAGGCACTGACAGTTCTCTAATGTGCTTTAGCACCGTGCGTAAATGCCTTTAATAAAGAATACTAAGTGAGTTGGAGCTTATTAAACCGACTGCTTGCTGCCATCGTGTGGACTTTTTCTTCTGAAGCATTCATTTCTGCATTTCTCATGTGCGCTCTTATCCAGGACATAAGCCTGTAAATGACTCAAAAGACGCCTGTCGTTTTCCTAAGACAGTGTTGTCGCTCATTTAAACAAGACAAAACATACAGTCTATGATGACTGTCTCCAATTCATATTAAAACTAAACCACACACTCATTTGTTCACACAGCATTATGTCAGCGGTAATAGACCATCATCTTTCGTTAGCTTATAGGCACTGTTGTCCTTCGTATTATGAAGGTCAGAATTGTTCCCAACCCCTCCCTCTCCCTCCGCGCGCAAAGTGCCTCAGCGTAATGTGTTGCTATTGGGTCAAACTTCCGAAGTCTTTGTTCGTGACTCGGATTCTCATTCGAGGCGCAAAGTGCTACGGGCGCGTCCCCCCAAAAGTGTGTCTGCGCTCCCGGACATGCAGCCGTGAGATGAGCTTTCAGCAAACAAAGCTACTCCGTCATTTGGGCAGCGCGACATGCGCTACAGGAGCACAGAGCACCAGCACCGTGACCGGCTAACGATCACGCGCTCGGTCCGCGCGCTGAACATCAGCACATCAAACAGTGGCTTGCCAAAGGTCACCGTGGATGGGATTTAGTCCGCCCGTATTTGCGCCTCTGTGCTTTGGAGTGAAGGCGCAGCGCCGAGATTTGGAGCTGCCTCGCGATTTTTGGGACAGTCTCTGCTGTTGCTCACCCGCTGGATCTCATCTGCAAGGTAACTTTGGACCATTTTTCTCCGGATTTGTCAAATGCCACATTCAGCTTTGCTCTAACAGGTGCCTTAAAATAATATCTGCTCTGAAGTGACACGCACCAGAGACGCCTCTGCTGTTTTTTTGTATTATTATTATTATTTTACTTGGTAAGCCAGTCTCAGGTTCATTTTCAGTTTGTATTAGTTTGTATCATTTATTAAAGGCTAGTTTCCCATTCGTTTTTTCTGAAATGGATATTCACCATTAATATTCATCAGTTTCTCTTTTCTCACCTGAGGACTCTCTGTGCTACGTGCGCTTTTATTTATTGCTGATAACCTGCGCGTAATGGACTTTATCAGTCATATTTGGGATGCCTTGAAGATTTGCTGCGCCACTAAGCTGTAGCAAACGGCCTTTGCGCTTCTCTTTCTTTCGTTCCTCACCCGTAAAATAAACTTTTAAATGCCATCACATACGGTCTGGCTGCAGGGTGGGATTAACAGTAAGACGATATGCATCGTGTAGAGCTTCTTTTGTTGAAAATAAATATCAGTTTGTCATAAATAGGCGTATTTTGAGTAAGACTGTGGCAAAAATAGATTTGGGACTCAATGACAGACTCAGTCACTTCATCCATCCTGGAGCCTGGCTGCACCTGCGTGTACATATATTTATGTGTGTGTGTGTGTGTGCGTGTGTGTGTGTATGTATATGTACTTATGCATGTATAGTGCATTATAAGCACTATTCAGGCTTTGTCAGCTTCTTTATAATGTAGCTTTGTAAATGTGCCAGGCTGTGCCAAGTCCGTGTCGTTTTGAGTTTCAGTGGTGCTCTATATTTAGTGCAGACTCGACGCTAAACTTTCTCTCTCTCTCTCTCTCTCTCCTCTCTCTCTTCCAGCGAATGTGACTTTTCATCCTGCTGGCTAAAATAAGAGCTGGGTTTGGGCTGAAGTGACAGTGCTCCTCGCACGCGGGACCCCGGCAGTGTGTCTTTAGAGTGATGGCGGCGTGGGCACCTTCCTCCTCCGCCGGCGAGCCGGACCCCAACACGGCTAATTTACGACCACCTTCCTCAAGTAGGTCCATCACCGATAAAACGCTATTTCACTCCGGCTATTTGCTTTGTGGCCAGCGTCGTTAATCTTGTCTGCTGGGTGAGGGGGAGTGGGAAGGGGGGTTAGAGGGGGCGGGGGGGGGGTGCAGGGAGGTGGGGCTGGAGGGCTGGGGGTGGGGGTGGGGGGTAAAACGGCGCTCTTCGCTTCGTCTCACCTCCAACAAATCACCGCTGCAGTGCGCGCGCGGCAGACCTCCCGCACCAGCCAGCCAGAGCAGCGCGGCTGTCACTCTGCGAGCTGCCCTTTGAAAACATGGACTGGTGGACAATTAAAGAAGACAGACGGCCACAGCAGCTCCGATCAGTCTTTATCGATTACAACATGTCATGTTTCAGCAACACTTTACCCAGAAAACCGACTGATACCCAGAAATAATTACTGATATTTTTTGTTAGATGTGCGTACAAGCATGTAGTTATTATATTATTATTATTAGTGACATTATAAAATACACTAGACTAGGCTATTATTATTATTATTATTATTATTATTATTATTATTAGTGTTGTTATTATCGGTACTGTATTTAACTTCATCATGGTTAGTCTCTGCCTATTAGTCTACCAGATTGCCTTTTTCTCCTCCTTATCTCTGAGTGAAAGAGAAAAAGGGCGTGTGTCTGCAGCGCTGTGTAATGAAGTGAAGAGGCGCTCTAATTGTAGAGATATTAAATAGGTCCTAATGGCTGCCTTTTGGCTCCAGCACATTGCTCTGAGGCTGTGGGGGTTTAATAGCTTTTCAGCCCCAGAGAAGGGAGCAGGCAGAGGGAACCTCCTTACAAAATGCCCTGAGCTGCGCCTGGTCCATCACAGACGTTTTACCGCTTCAGAAAGAGCCACTTCTCTCTTTATTTCACTACAGCTTTTAGTGTTTTTGCAGCTGTCCAGCCTTTTGTTAGTTTTGAAAAACGGTCTTCACAGAAGACCATGTTTATCGGCTAAAAAACCTGACGCAAAAGAAGAAAATTGGTTTTATTTCTGTTATGAAATAAAATATGCATTCATGTATTTGTGAAAAAATGGTTATAAACTCTATTATTTTCGTTGTGCAGACAGTTTTAAAAATGTATTGTCGTGCTATATTCCAGCGCTTGATTGCATTTGTAAAAATGTATTTTTATATAATTGAATCAGTCAAGCTAAGCAGGCTGACAGCTGAATATGGACCTGGTCCATTTTTATTTTTTATTTATTTAATACCACAAAAGACTTAATAAGGTGAAATGGCGCTGCTTTGTGTCGGTCTGAAGAGGAGGAGGAGGAACAGCTCTGATTCACATTCCCTGAGTGTTATTTGGTGAAATGGAGGTGATTTGGCGGAGAGCAGTGTGAGTGTGAGGTCTGGCCCGCTGAGATAATACTGCTGCTGGTAAACGGTGCGAGTGTGTGCCAAACGTGCAGAGTGTGTATGGAGGGAATGAGGAGGGGGGTAATTTCACCTGCTCTTACATTCCCCTCCACCTCCACCCTTCCTAGCGCTTACTGTTTCATTTAATTGCAAATTGGTTGAGAAAAAAGTACCTTAGTCCTGCTCTTGACTAGATTGCATTTAAAGCCGAGAGAGAGAGAGAGAGGGAGAGACAGACAGACAGACAGACAGACAAAATACATTTGGGTTTCATGAGTTTGTTCATTTGCTTTTGAAGGCTATGACTGGAGTGGAGTTGCTCACGGATGTACGAGAAAACTTGGGATGAAGATCTGTGGTGAGTTTTCTTATCACTGTTTATTGTTTATAAGAACAAAATAATTCAGGAGAAGCACGACAATCTAAACGTGACACCTCAGGTTAGTACAGAAACGGGAAAATAGACACAGAGAGATATTAAAATAGAAATCTGTGTTCGTTATTTGCTCTGAGAGAAGAGCATGGTGTGATGATGGTAGCTGCTCAATATTCCCAAACAGATACAAGTGAGATGTACCTTTTGTTTTGGTCTGGATTGTTATTAAAATGTTTCCAGTGATTTATACTGAAAGAAAAATATGCACAAAATACGTTTGCAGTTTTGCATCTACTTGTAAGATAAACCTTATAATGTCTATATCTGAAATGTTTAAATTCCTTTGGTCCACATGTTCTTTAAATCTAAAGCTTTTTTATATTCACATTCAACTTCTATTTCTAGCTTTTATTCACACACACACACACACACACACACACACACACACACACACACACACACACACACACATATATTTATTTTTCTTTTTCATAATAAATGTAGTAGATAACATGAATGGGTTAAATGTTCTACAATCATGGTCTCTGAGATGCAGCACGTGTCCGGTTTAATAGAGGAGGTTTAGATGATGGGGGTGATCCTGTAGCGCCCCCACCTGCTAAAAGAGGATTCTGAACAGTTAATTCGTCTAAATTTAAAATGAAGAGTATTTTAAATCCATAAGTATATTTCTGTCAGTAAGATAAAATACAGTCCAAATGAAGTGCTGAATGTCCTAATGTATGTCCTAGTGGTTTATACTGAAGTGAATGTGTCGCTCATTTCAAACTGATCATAGTTTCTCTAAATCTGTCTAGCCATTTGAAAAGGCTGTGTAGGGAGCTGTGGTTTAGTTTATACCTGCCGCTCTCTCGGGGTTATAGATCACAGAAATCTGCAGTCCTTCATTAGTCTAGCGGCGATAAGTCCGCCGTCCCTCGGGAGGATGAATGAACAACAGAAATGTGTTGAGTGTCCGTGTGTGTGGAAGAGATAGCGCGGGCCTGTGTGTGTGAGTGTTCTGCACTTCATCTGATAAGATTTTCAGTGAGTGTTGGGGAAAATGGTCCCTTTCAGTTCCCTTTCAAATAAATCCGGTGAGAGAGTCTCACTGAGACCCTCTGCTTTATTTCAGTTCGACCGATGAGCGCATTAACAACAAAAGATAAATGTTCACTACACTCGGGAGCTTTATGGCTCAATACGTAAAAAAAATACGCACACTCTTTTTTAAATATGGATTTTTTCACAGATGCCAGTCTGAACTGATCAGACTCTGGTTATGATTGGCTAGGAATAGAGAATAAATAAATAGAGAATAAAACGATGAAGTGGATGATTGTTAAATCGTTAACAATCAAAGCGGATCTGTTGTAAAAATCCTTCGGTCTTTTCTTTACAGACTCATTGCGCTCTATGATTCACTGCAGTGGTTTCTCTCTCAGTACTGATTTCTCCTCCGGCTCCGTGTCCAGTGTAACTGAAGCATTTGCATTGCCTTTACGTCCCAAGCATCCTTTCGTTAAAGGAACGGCGCGTCATTCCGTAGATCAAACCGCTTTCCAGCAGAAACGGGCTAAGCGTTAGTGTAAGCCTGTGTTTTAGTTTTCGGAAATAAAAGCGCTGTTTTAAGGAGAAATACAGCCTCGACTCCTCCAGTGCGTCGTTATTATCGCTGTGAAGTGCCCGTGATTTTTCCTCCACCCGTTTTCGGACAGGCCCCGCCTGCCTTGCTGTGATTGGCCAGGACTGGTTGACAGGCGGACTTCTGGGGTGTATGAGCTATTAGCCAATCCTGGTGCTGCAGACAGGACACTTCCAGCCAATCACAGCGGAGGAGGTGAGGTCTGCCGGAATACGGGTGGGAAAAATATCGCGCTCTAAACGCCGGTGTTTGTTTCTGCGAGGCTGGACTTTGGCTGTTCGTCCTCGGGGACAACCCGTCCCAGCACCTCTCACACAGCGAGGGACCCCCTCTTGATTTAAAGAGCGCGGGATACACGCACGCGCACACTGTGGAACTAAACCAGTTAAAGTGTCAGGTGCGATGTTTGGACATGCAAGAAGCAAGTTTCAGTCTTCTTCTTCTTCTCCTAACAATCCAGGATTTTTACAGAAGAATAATAATGTGGATGAGAAGAGTCGGATTGTGGGCGCTTTTACCGAGCAGCCCTCCCCGAAGAACCTGTTAACCCGGGACAACGAGCGGGGGTCGCGCTTCAGACACACAGAGACGGACTTCTCCAACCTGTATGCCCGAGGTGAGCCACTCCACTGCCTTTACCTTCAGACTTACTTTACACAACAAAGAAAATTAGATGATTTTTTATTAATGTATTTTTTTTATTTGAGTCTTTATTTTCTGTTTCATTTTGCACGTTGGTTTTTAAGTTTACAATCACTATTTTTATTACACAGTTCATACCAGGAAAAGTTTAATATTATTATTATTATTATTATTATTATTATTATTATTGATAGTTGCAGTAGTAGTAGAAGCAAACATACATTTAGTTAAAATATGAATTAAAATGCCATTTAAATGGTGGGGCTTGTCAATTCAAATGGTCAACAGATGAAAGCAGCTACTGTGTTAAAGACTGTTCGTTTGATTAAACCCTGTTATCATGATATGATGTCCTAATTATTAACGGCTCATCTCAGTCCATATTTATTAATAGAATTCTCTGTAAAAGAAATAGAAGAAGTATCTATGTTTTATACCATGTCATCTTATTATTTGAAGTTCAAATAACCTAAGATATCAAGGCAGCTTGGAAACTAACCAACTAATTTTTAAGTTAAAACCCAATTTTTTTTAATAGTATGTTTCCTGTAAATCACATGCTTTTGTTCCCAGGAGCATGATCAACACTGAGCTGACTGTAATTGTCTAAATAGCAGATCTTTTTCTTAATTATCTATTCATTCTATCAGTTATCCTTTTTATCCTCATCCACATACTAAATTTGGGAAAGGATGTATTTACATAACTTTGGTTCACTGAATTTTCACTATTATGTTCACAGTTTCAGTGCATGTCAGCTGCAGCTTTGGCTGATATTAAGAGTACTTAAGCATTTTAAAGAGCTCTGAATGAATATGGCCTATATGTCACAAATCTTTAAGATTTACTGCCTGCCAAGAATGGTGAAGAGCCTACTATTCAGTTCCTGCTGGAGGTGGTGGACATCCTCACTAACTACGTGCGCAAGACATTTGACAGATCCACCAAAGTGCTGGACTTCCACCACCCACACCAGCTGCTGGAGGGCATGGAGGGCTTCAACCTGGAGCTTTCTGACCAGCCGGAGAGCCTGGAGCAGATCCTGGTGGACTGTAGAGACACACTGAAATATGGTGTCAGGACAGGTGAGAGAAATGGAGTGACTGATATTTTAATATGTAGATTCAAGTGTTTGGTGCTTGATTTGTGCTCAGTCAATTTTAACCTCTTAAACTCTACGGCTGTTATTCGATTACTAACTATGATAACAATTATCCACTAGCTATGGTGAAACTAATATGTAAGTTACAGTATGTGTCCTAATATTTTGGGGAAGACTTTACATTAGATTTTGAAGCATGTCAGGATTTGATTGCATTCAGGCATAAAAGCATTAGTGAGGTCGTGTACTGATGATGGATGATTAATTCTGGATCACAAACATCACTTCAGTTCATCCCAAAAGTGTTTGATAGAGCTACATCACTAATTAGAAGGGGTGTTGGATACTTTTGGATGTACAGCATATGTAGCAATCAGAGTGAGGAGCCTGTAGAATTTAGCAGCAACATAAATATACATCACTTGCATATGACTAGCTTGTAGCTTATTACGCTAGTATATTTTCAGTTCCTCTTGGAAATTCAAAGCAATTAAGCACATGTGCTTTGTTGTGGATATTGTTTCTCTTCAGGCCATCCCAGGTTTTTTAACCAGCTATCAACTGGGCTAGACATCATTGGCTTGGCTGGCGAGTGGCTCACCTCCACTGCAAACACTAATATGTAAGTTCTAACTTTCGTTTATTCCTTCAGGTTTATTTGTCATCCTGACGGAGTGCAGAAGGTGTAATTGGAACATTATCTAGCAGAAACACCCAAACAATAGCTTAAAAAGCCTATTTGTCACATTGTCAAGAAGTAGCTTCATTTGTTACCCTGCTTAACGTACCCATCACAACATTTCTTCATTCAGATCTCTGGGTGCAATCTTCATTATAATTAATTTATCATCAGCATTCACCTTTGACACAGTGGCACCTTTGCCATGGTAACAAATAAAAAGCATTGTGTCTCTAAAGTAGCCTGTGAAATGGCCCAGAGGTTTGATACACAGCCTGCAGACAGGACAATCACTGACGCAAGGCTTCACTTCATTGGTCAAGGCTAATTTACATCCTTATGTTCTCACATATGGCGTCAGATTCACACAGTGTGCACTTACTTACAGATTCAGTCATTACGCTGATCAGATGATTGTTTTTAGAAGTAGCTTGAGATTTTAAAGAAACACCACAGTAAGCGTGTTCTTATAATCAGAAACTAGAGTGTTCACTAATCTTTCCACCTATTTTCCTATTCACCAAGCAGCGTTTTCAGTCTTTTCAATGTAAGCAAGTTAAGCCGCGGATGCTGGTGTCCTACACCATGATTCATCAAAATAATCCATGATACTTTCCTTCTTCAGCAAACATTATATCAAAAAAATAAAACAAACAGCAAGGTGTGAACATATCAGTTCAGGTGACCTCTGGAGGTCAGACATTCTATTATGTTTTTTTATGGCATGTGCCCGAACTATTTAAAGGTCAATAAAAGATACACAGCTGATTTATTTCACTATTTACTGCCATGGTACAATGACTGCCCTCTGTTTCTTTCAGTGATTTAAAGAGTAGACAAGCATACTTGCTAAAAGTTCATAAGGTCCATAATGACTTGTCAGTTGTATCAGAGACTAAGTCTGCAGTAAAATGTGGAGAAAGGTTATAGAAAACTCTTTTATTTTTGGTAATAATACATTGGGGTCCATAGTCTGTGACCACTAGTGAAAATTATTTTATTTTTACGTTGTTTTCTAATTTAATACAAAACAAATCATCACAAATGATATTTTCAGCATAACACTTTGAGTGAAAATTAGAATCTGTCACATTTTCAAAATTTCTTAGTATTTGGTGTGTGCCCCATTTGCTTAAATGACAGCGTGCACTCGAGGTGACATGGACTCCACGAGTTTGTAAAAAAGCTACTGATGCAAAGATCAAAACCACTTGAGCGTCGTCTGAACATGAACTTCAATGGAAGACATAAGCTTAAAAAAACTGACCATGGTCATTTTACAAATTTGCTTACATTTGAACAGTGACCAAGGCATGCAAAATCAGGAAATTTCTCCTTCATGTCACTTGTAACAACTTTTTTTTTCAAAATTCTAAAACTTTCAATTGTTTGTTCCCAAGTTCCCAAATAAAATTTTTTTTGATTTTCGATGTGAACTTTTAGACCCCACTGTATATCCTCTAGTGGTGTTTGCTAGAATAAATAATAGCATAAGGGCATGCATACAGATGAGTCAATGATCTGAGGTCTGGTTGCGTGCTTGGATGTTGTCTATAATCTCCTTTCACATGACTATTTATATTAATAAGCCAATTAGCCAAGTCTGAACAAACACTTGCCATTCACGTTCACTAATTAGCCTATGATTGTTGCTAATTACTTCTGTTGGTCAGTGATCATCATTACCCTGCTGGAGATGCCTCCTCTGGGAACTTCGTGTCAGAATATGTTTGTATGATTAATTATGGGTTACTTTAAAGTAGGTGCAACCATATATCAACACTATGAAACAAAGATGTTATATTTGGATGTTGACAGCTGATGATGAGTGTTTTTGTTCATTGGTCATTTGTATGCAATAAGCATGTGTGCATGTGTTGCATTTGTCGCTTTTTCCACAGGTTCACGTATGAAATTGCTCCGGTCTTTGTGTTGATGGAGCAGCTGACTCTGAAGAAGATGAGGGAGATCGTAGGCTGGCCCAATGGAGAAGGTGATGGCATATTCTCCCCAGGTGAGCTCAAATGCTAATGAACAGAAAGCGTGTGTGGGCAGATGAAGGCAAAAATAACTCTGAGAGCTCTGTGAGTCAGCTGAATAACACGTTAGTCAAGCTCTCCAAGTGTTCAGTGATTTTGCATGCAGCAAAATGTGCAAACACTAATATCACTCATTGGCATCATGCAATACTTTTTTAAAGCTCAGGAATTACTGTAGTGTGATCCTAAATTTGCCAGCTGTGTCCATACTGTTCATTTCACTCACAGGAGGAGCAATCTCCAACATGTACAGTGTGATGGTAGCTCGGTATAAGCACTACCCAGAGGTGAAGACTAAAGGCATGACAGCAGCTCCCAGACTCGTGCTGTTCACTTCTGAGCATGTATGTACACTCAGTCTCACTGAAAGTGAAGATGAAGGTTTTTTTCTGCTAGTGTTAAATAAATGTTTTGTTTTGCATTTAACTGTCCATATATTCATATTTACAGTACTGTGCAAAAGTAAATCAGGAAAAAGGTCAGAACACATTTAGCCAAAAAATACATGGAAGCCTCAATAACTAGTTATTATTTTTTCAGTATTTAGTGTGTTCACTCTTTATTACAGCTTCCAATCGTTTCAGGAGACTCACTCTCAGTTCTTCTAAGAAATCTGCAGGGATATTTTTCCGTACTTGCAAAGTTCAGTCTTAGAAGTTGGTTGCATTTTTGCTTTTCACAAAAAAAGTAATCCCAAAAAACTGAGTGATGTTGAGGTCTGGACTCTGGTCTGTCCATTGTTCTGAGAATGCTGGCAGCTTCTTTTTGTCTTTTTTGCCTAGTGCCTAGTTGCCTAGTTTCTTGACAGCTAGACCTTTGAGAGCCACAGTGTTTGGTTATCTCCTCATAGTGGAAGGATGGACAGAATCATTGGTGTCAAAGATTAAAGTTTTAAGTATTGTTTATCTGATTGTGATAGTTCTGGTGGTCTACAGGGTCTTGCATGATGGTTAGGAGTCCCATTATCTCTATCTTTATGTTTTTTAAACTCTAGTTTTGTAAAAATCCATTTTTTTCCTCTTATATTCCGAATCGTATATCTAATCTCTTTAGAAAGATCACCTAAAAATAAATAACCATTTTGACTGTTAATTAAGCGAATGAAAGGAGTCTCTCTGACTTCAGCACAGTACTATATTTTTCTATATCTGTTCTTTGCTATAAACAATGTCTTCCACATGGCTTATTTCATCTTCCTTTCACAGAGTCACTACTCCATAAAGAAAGCCAGTGCAGTTCTTGGCTTTGGGACAGAAAACCTGATTCTGCTGAAAACAGATGAGAGGTAAGGCAATTCTCTGTCTGTGTTGTGAACTTCTGTAAGCTCCTGGTGTGTATGTATGTGTGTGTGTGTGGATATGGGTGTGTGCGTGCGTATGTGTGAGGGCGTCTGTGTTACATGTCCGTCTCCTTTATCAGAGGTAGAGTGATCCCTGCTGATCTGGAGGCCAAGGTCATTGATGCCAAACAGAAGGTGAGTCTTTTGTTAGAAAAGACGTCCAACTCAAGGCCTTTACAGCTTTGTAGCTCATGTAAATGATTTGCTATTATGTCTAAACAGTGACACCAAGCTTTAAACACTGCATGTCATGTGTGGTCTAACTTATTGCTACAAAACTACTATCATCACAGCTGACATTGCATGTTTAGTTGATAACTAATATGTAACTATATTAATAAGCCTTTCGGTATCTAGTATACGGTTTCAATCCTGTGATTTAATTAAACAAAAATAATATCAAAGGATGAATGATCTTATATGTGTAGTTAATCACAATCAGTAAGATACCATATAGTCTCTACATGACACGCTAAATCTAAGTGACTTCAGGTAGTCTTGTTCTTGGTTTTATTGCCTTTATCTACTTCAGTCAGTGGTTGTAATCCATCCAGAGTGACGGCTCATCTGTCTCTGTTCTTTTTCAGGGGTATGTTCCAATGTTCGTGAATGCTACAGCCGGCTCCACAGTTTATGGAGCTTTCGACCCCATCAACGAGATTGCAGACATCTGTGAAAAATACAACATGTGGCTCCATGTGGACGTAAGTGCCCACTGATGTTTGTAAGTGTTAATAAGAATGTTGTTAATAGGTTTCTGTCGCTCAGTAAGAAGATCGGGATTAAAAAAAATGGCTGTGTTTGTCTACAGGGAGCATGGGGAGGTGGACTGTTGATGTCTAGAAAGCACAGACACAAGCTGAACGGCGTTGAGAGGTACATTTTACCTTTATACATTACACACACAGAGACACACACACACATTCACAAACATTTCTGAGGCTGTTCTCATTCTGCTGTGTTATTTCTGTAGGGCAAACTCTGTCACATGGAATCCTCACAAGATGATGGGCGTTCCACTACAGTGCTCTGCCATTTTGGTTCGAGAGAAGGTGAGGCAAAGACAATGTAGAAAGAGAGAGAGAGGGAGGGAGAGAGAGAGAGAGAGAAAGAGAGAGAGGGAGCACTTAAAAGACTATATGTGTAAGAAAGAGGCTGAGTAGCGAAGTGAAAGAGAGAGATGAACAGAACAAAAGGGTAAAAGAAAAGGGAAAGGCGGAAAGAGGGTATGTGCTCACTGAAGCGTATCATTAACGATTCTCCCCATCCTGGTTTCTCTCTGTCTCTCTCTCTTTCTCTGCCTGCACTGACATATCATTATGTGAGTATCTGGCCCTCTGATGGTTTCACTGTGTGTGTGTGTGTGTGTGTACAGGGTCTTCTGCAGGGCTGCAATTCCATGTGTGCTGGCTACCTTTTCCAGCCTGATAAACAGTATGATGTCACCTATGATACCGGAGACAAGGCCATACAGTGCGGCCGACATGTGGATATCTTCAAATTCTGGCTCATGTGGAAGGCAAAGGTACTGCACACAGATTGGATTAATGAACAAATGAATGAACAAATGAATTAATGAATGAATGAAAATCTCAGCTGAAACATTTTTTTCAAATGGAGTGAACATCATATCAATATCAAATGCTTGCATTGGAAACCAAAACAATAATAATAATAATAATAATAATAATAATAATAATAATAACTTTTTAAAAATGTAATAACATTTAATAACATTTTTTTGAAGCCGAAATGTTCTTCAAGGCTATGTATGTCCTCCACAGGGTACCACTGGATTTGAGAAGCATATAGACCGGTGTTTGGAGCTTTCAGAGTATCTCTATAATAAGATCAAGAACAGAGAAGGCTATGAGATGGTTTTCCAGGGGCAGGTCTGTGAAAATAATTTTAACCATTTTCAATCACATCTTCATTACCATTCCCCTCTGAAACAGATTTAAACAATTACGCATCCGTTCTTTAACTACCTGTGATGAATATGGCAAGTCATGAGGATCTTCTTATGTTATGGAGCATACTGTTTTTCTAAGTAGGAGTCTCGCATATTAACAATATAACCAACTACTGTGCATACTTTCATAACAATGGGACGTGTCTGATTTTTGTTTATGCTGTTCTTTTTTTCTCTCTCAGCCTCAGCACACTAATGTGTGCTTCTGGTATATTCCTCCAAGCCTGCGTGGCATGCCAGATGGGGAGGAGAGGAGACAGAGGCTCCATAAGGTAAAGTACTGTCAGCTTCAACAGACTGCCTTTATAGCAAAGTGACCAATGATTTAGTTTGAATGATTATTAACACAAGCTCAGGCATCAATGTGGAAAAGTAGCATGGCCTTGAAGTCAAGAAAACCATGTGAGTAAATGATTGTCTAGTGTGTTGTGATTGGAGAGGAATGATTTCTCCCCCACTACCAGGTGGCCCCCAAAATCAAAGCCATGATGATGGAGTGTGGGACAACAATGGTGGGCTACCAGCCTCAAGGTGACAAAGTCAACTTCTTCAGGATGGTCATTTCAAACCCAGCCGCCACCAGGTCAGACATCGACTTCCTGATCGATGAGATCGAACGACTGGGCCAGGATTTATAAAGAGCACACAGATCTTTCAGCCAGCTGTCTCTGAAGCAGTGGTCAGTGTTCACTGGGCCTGGATAGATGCCCCTGAGGAATCTTAAACAATTCAACATAGTGTTAGCAAACATTCTGGCAGCCCTCATACAATTTCACCTTCATTCTGATTAGGCTACTGGTCCACCATGGACTCCAGTGATGCATGATCTTTTATAACACCCCATAAAACTGGGGAACTGACAATGTTGACAAACTACAGCACCAATGGGAAACAAGAGTTCATACCAATGTGATGTTTTACTGTATACATTAAAGGAACACTCTAGTGTTTTTCAAGCTGCAGCATCTGTAGTATATGATCAACTACCATGGACAATAGTTGTGAACAAAGTGTTATCAAAAGTGTTTGTCTGTGGTAATTGACCATTCACTACAGATGCAGCAGGTAGAGATTGGGTTGAAAAACTGGAGTATTCCTTAAATTCTCCAAATGGACTATAGATCTTCCATGGTGGAGCTGCTATTGAGGGTGAAGCTCTATGAGGTCTTGCGTTCTGGGAGTACAGCGACTGAAGGAGAGATATCATTCTACTCTCTCAATGTATCTGTTATGTACAAGATCTTTCACTCGTAACGGTAAACATTTCACTAGATATGACTACAGAGTCTTCTGCACTAGTATATATTTTAAGAATACTATGTGATTTATCAAAATCAATTAACTGTTGGTTCTCAGTGTTGTCAGTGTGATTACAAAGGCGCATATATTAGCTGTTCTCCTGTGTTATAAATGAATGGGGAATAATGCATTCATCACTATCATACCAGGAACTGTATTCAATTGCTGTGTTTTTAGAACTGAAGTCCTTTATGTAGATTGTGTATATTATTGTTATATGTCCTTTGTGACAAACATATTACATAGTTTTACAGTAAGAGATGTTTAAATAGTGATTACCAGGTGCATAGAGATATTTATTAAGATTTTATTTATACAAAGAGATTAATTGTGTGAAAGATGTCTTTTCCTCCATTTGTAAGGGATCCTTATTTGTATTTTGAGCGGATATTATGATTACGAGTGTTTTAACCAATGTTTTAGAGATTTCAATGTATTCATTGACCAAAGACATGGAACGAAGTGGTGTTTATTTATCTGTCACTTTAATCTGTACTACACAATGGCTTAGACTAAGTGATCAATGTGTAATGTATCAATGAGATATAAGATATCAGTGAGCACATTCAATATAACCGTAGTGCAATCAGTGTGGTGTAGCTGTGATTGTCACTATTATTATACATACACAATAAATGTTAGAAGTAATCGTGTAGTTCTAGTCAAGTCAAAAGAAGTCCAGTGAAAAGAAGTGGCTGAGTTCTAGCTGGTATTGCTGGTACTTGGTAAGAAAAGCACAAAAGACTCTCTTAAAATACAAGTGTAGTATATTTTATTAATATCCAGAGAGGATTTTTATTGATGTTTTAGCAACCTAAGATCTGCTTTTCCAAGTCACAGAAAAACAGTACACTGAAAGAAGTGCTTTGAATTTACGTTTTAAACACATCAGTTGGTTACACGTGAACAAAATGTATTACATCAACACAATTCTTGCCAAAAGACAGAAATTATGTTGATTTAACATATTTTATTCATGTGTAACCAACTGATATGTTTGAATTTGATGGACACATTTGAATCATGTGCATTCAAAGCAGCATATCTTTCAGCATGGTTTTGGACTAAACTCTAATTGTAATTATTGTATTTGGAGACTGGGCTTAGTCTGTGATGGGAAACCAGTCCTGAATTCTCAACAAAAAAGGGTGTTCAGACATGCCTGGACTACTTAGTGTAAGCAGTGACAAAGATTATGTATTTACGGACAGCATAAAATGTTGAAATACAGCCCCATATATGAGAATGGTCTGTCAGATAAAACAGGCACTTTAATCTACAGTCACACCAAGTGAACTTGTGCAGGACTGCTGTCATATAAATACTGCAAATAAAACACTCAGCTTTCAGTCTACCAGTCTCCTCTGTTTTATTGGCATTGCTGAATGATGACATAATAAGGGTCTTTCTGCGGTGTGGTTCATTCCATCTAGACTACTGCTTTATGCTTTGAATGAATTTGGGACAATACTTCTCACCCATGTATGAAAAATAACAATAGATGATTTTACTGAGATACTGTTCAGTATCTAGCTTTGTAGCTGCTGCACTGTAACTTAATTATGCTGCCTTCTTCAAACGTATAACTTATAATATAATTAATTACAGCCATTAAAAGCACCAGTCATATTTCATAGTTCATGGAGTGACAGTGAAATACACTCTTAAAAACAAAGGTTCCTCAGAGGTTCTTGGCTTGGACATATGGTTCCAGAAAAAAAACTTGATTCATATAGAATGTTTACATTACAAGGAGATTATTCACTCTAATACAGCTCATTTACAAGAACCATCTGCTTAAAAGTTATTTAGGTTTCGCTCCAAAGAACCCCTTCTGGCACCTTTTTAAGAGCGCAATAGTGTACATATCTCTATTGTAAGGCACTGAGTACATGTTACTATTTGTCATTTACATTTTCTTTGGAGGGGAGCACAGAGGTCTCATGAGGTCACACACCCGTTATGGACATGGCTGACCCTGAGGAATGGAAATCAAAGAGTATCTGAATGGAAATCACTCATTTGAACACACAAAGTGCTATAACCATTTCAGCATCAATCATTAGCCATCATGGACCATAGATTTCCTACGTTACAGCACATTTAACGCAGATTATCTGTGAGGCCAGCCGTGAAGTGATGTGACGGTGGAATGCAGCTGTGGCCCTTGATGCTCACAAATCGAACTGAATCAATCTCACCCAAAACACAAAATGAACCATTAGCTGGTCTAAAACAGCCAATTTGAGGCAGATTTCATCAAACCTTTCTCTACATCCATGTGCTTTGAATGACAGCAGCTTTCGTTTTGCCCCAAGACAGACACTGAATACTATTTCCAATTCTAAAAAACCCTGATATTTTCTCAAATCCAGCCGCTGCCTCTATCTCCACTGTCATTCCCCATTTCTCAAATTAATAGCCCAGAGAGGGAGTTTTACAGGGCGATCATCACGGCGCCGAGCTTTCTCAGCCCCCTCAGTGAGACGAAGCTGCATTCATTATTCACTCTTTTAAAGATATTTATCATAAAAGTCATCAGACCTTGCTCTCTTTCAGACTCGCCATATGAGCTCATGGGAAGCCAATTTCAGGCCCTGTGCTGGCTGAATGCATTTTATTTTTAATACAGGAGAAGAAAGTGTGTGCGTGTCTGTGCGTGTTAGTAAAGTTTCAACCTTTCTAATATTTTTGAACTGATTAATTTAATGTACCTGCATATGCAGTGTATACATTACATTTTCTGGATTATAATTTCAGCATATTGTTAAGTCTGTGCTTTATGAAAGGGAAGATGTGAGACAGCACAGTGTTAGACCACTGAGGAGTTTTGTAATTACATATGAATCTTTTGTTCTCTCTTTGGTCTGTACAGTCTTTCGTTTGTGAATGTTTTTTATGTCTTTTTTGAGTATATAAAGGAGAATTCCACAAATGTTTAATGAAAAACTATATGCAATGTTTTTGCTAAAAATCATACAGGTATGATAAGGTGTTGTTTGACGCCACGTATTTAAAATAACAGGGTTAATAAAACCTAAATGAAGCATGGCTTTGTAATGTAAAAGGTTGTAGAAAATAAAATAGAAAAATTAAAACAGAATAACTGATAGTCCAAAAAGGGGTGGGATGGTGAACATAGGATTTTGTTTAATTGGAGGGGCTCCTTTTTACAGAATTGAATTACTGCATTGTAAACAAAGCCATTCAAAGTGGTTTGGTGAGAAAGGGTGCACAGTAGAGAAGCTAACTGATCTCTTTACAGTGATGGTGATAGGAACCCGAGGTCACAATGTGTATAGCCATTTTATTTACTATACAAACCAAATAGTGAGCCTACATCTGAGTTTTTATGTGTGACGCTGGTAAATTGTTTTCGGAAACTACTTTGGCTAAAAAAGTCCTGCACCTCTTCACCATGAATGGATTAAAAAAATAAGTTTTAGGCCAAAACCTTATTTCACAACTATTGTAAAATAAATCTCATCAGACAGTGTATTCATAAACATTTATGTAATAACTTTCTTTAATATAGCTTTTAAAGGCATTAAACACTTTGGATGTCTGGTTCCTTTCACCACCACTGTGAATAGTTCTGACACTGTTTCTCTTGAACAAACCAAACCATCACATCAAACCATCTGAATGGTTTGCTTAAATTTAACTGTTTAATTATGCATAATTTTTGAAAAATGTGTGGACATTCATGGATTAATTTTCATAGGGGTCTACCCTGAACACATATGTAGGATAGCTGCAAGAAACAAACTTGCTTGCTTTCTGAAGTAGTATAAGCTGTTTTCCCCATTAAGCAAGTGGCTAGTTATAGGTAACATGTAAAGCATTAGTGGTGATAACATTGTTGAGCTTAATTAAATTGATGCATAATTATGGAGTTAATTGGGAGGCAGGTGTCTCAGGCCTGGGGAGGTAATTGAAAGATAATGAAAACAAAGAGAGGCAGTGTGAAAAGAAGAATCTGTTCCAGCCTTTAATACCACTATTACACTGCGCTGAGGCACGGACATAGTCCACTGACCACCCAGACGAGACTGGGCCAGACTGTTTCCTGTCTGCTATTATATAAAGGACATTACTCTGTGCAATAGCCTAACACAGAAAAAAATATGAAAAAGGTTTCTAAATGAATGTGAATGTTTCTTAAAGGTTTCTGTAATTGTGGAACAATACAGACTCACAATGACATAGGCTTTTGTTCAGCTATTATTATAGAGTTGCATTGTATGCATTTATCCGTTCAGGCTTTGTGGTACCTTGGAGAGTTCCATTTAAAATGATTGAGTGTGTTCAGTTAGTGCTTTATAAAATCTCTGACACACAGCCAAAAGAAATCACACTTAATTCACATTAGCTGCACAGCCTAAGCAGAGCCTCCATTTCTGCATCAATTTCAATTACAAGCATTATTAAACCTAGACTAGACTCTGGGAATAAAAAGCTTACCTCTGCCATCTCTCTCTCTCTCTCTCTCTCTCTCTGTGAAATGGGTAACAGACTGAGAAATACCTGCTGTCTGAGTCTACACTAGACAGTCTGGGTGCGCGCACACACACACACACACACACACACACACACACACACACACACACACACACACTCACTCACTTATTCATTCAGCGTACCACAAGCATGCACATTATAAAGCAATGCACATGAATAAAATGAAAAGGCCGGATGTTTTTCAGATTTTGCTTTTTTGATGCTCTGCTTTGCAGCTCAGTCAGTGGTTTCTGGTTGTGGTGTCTTGGCATGTGCATAGATTGTTTATTGTTCAAACCCTTTTTAGCATTTTTCTCATCAATCCATGCCTTTTTCTATTATGAATTCAGAAACTGGACTGATTCTCCCTTCTTTCATGACACACTACTGTGTAAAAGTCAGAAACCACTTAGCATTTTCAGCAGCTATTTCTGATGAGATATAATATACAAGATGAACGGGAAAGTCAAAGAAGAATAAGTGAAACTGGAACTTAAAAAATGATTAAAAGATACAGAGAAATTGTGACTCCTAACAACCGTATGAGACCTGGTAGATCACCAAAATTGTCACCAGATTGTCATCAGATAAACAGCACTTAAAGCTTTCATCTTAAAGAGTGGAAAAGATGTGTAGCTGTGAAAAGGAAATAGACCTAAAAAATAAAAAGATAAAACCATTTTGCCAATCAGAAAAAATAAGGTGCTGATGTTCTCAGAACAATGGACTGACCACCCCAAAGTCCAGATCTCAACATCACTGAATGTGTTTGGGATTACTTGGATCATGAGTAGCAGAAAATGCAACATCATCTACTGAACTTTGAAGGTGTGGAAAAACATCCCTGTAGATTTCTTTGAAAAACTGACAGGAGGTCTCCTGAAAAGAATGAAAGCTGTAATAAAGGAAAAGCATGGGCCCACTGAACACTGAAATAATATTATATTATATTTAGTTGTTGAGGTTTCTGTGTAATATTTTTGTGAAATACATGTTTTCTATAGTTTTAAATAAATAAAGGGTGGTCCCTGTCTTCTGCACAGTACTGTAAGTCTTATACAGTGCCCCTCTTAGTATGTTTCTTCTGTCAGTCAAAAGTATTTTAGAATGTTAGTGTAATTTTGTATTTATCTTCATAAACACACAGAGACACTTATCTTCAGCACTCTAATAGGGTACCTTTTTAGAACCTTTTAAAACACTGTGTTGGACCCTTTTTTGGCATTTATGACTTTTTTTTTTTAAGTTTAAACTGGCTGGCTAGAAAGGGTTAGAAATCCAAGAACAATTTAAATATCGTCACTGTCCAGAGAAAACCATGTATCTCCATTTTTGTCTATTTTTATTTTTCTACATCATTTCAACACACCAGCTGTCCTTTACGTTGGGTGAAAATTTCATGATGAATGCACCAATAGAAATGTTCGTTTGGAATAAAATCTCTCATTATCTTACATTGAAAGGTAAGAGTGGTTTTGCCTTGTCCTGTAAAGTTACTATTGTGGAGATACTTGTTTTTCTTTGGACAGCAACGATATGTTAGCTTCAACAATCAGTATTACTGCAAACATACTTTTCAAAACTCAGGATGAGCTAAAATATAGTAGGCATGATTGTACTTATGTCCAATTCGTTCCTTAAATATACAGGGGTGTGATTTGCACTAGGCAAAGGCAGGCAGCCACATAACCCAAGGACTCCATAAAAATACAAATTATATATACTGTACTCGTTAATGTTAAATAATCTATTCCAAAATATATATACATTTTAGAAATAGCTGTAATTTGCAGCTGTTTATTATTATTATTATTATTATTATTAGTAGTAGTAGTAGTATAGTACTAGTAGTAGTTTTATGAAGTAAAATTCTCATTTTTGGCAGATAATTTTGCATATTTCTTAAACCAAACTAAATTATCTACCAACATAGATAATTGAACTCAACACCTGCTTAAAATAAAATAAAAAAGTTAAAGAGCCCATATCATGAAAAAACAAAATTTCCTCACTTTATTTTTTAAATGTATGTAGTGTGTAGATATTGATAAAGTTTCAAAAAATAACTAAGCAAAAACAGCCCATTTTGAATTAATCATGTTTGCGATGTCATGAAAAACCCAACTCATTTACCCATTTAGCCTACAGCAGTTTACCCCCTTATGGTGAAGTTATAAGGAGTGTTTCAGACACAATACAGGGCAGCCAATCAGAACAGAGCATATTTGTACATACAGCAATCTTAAAGGCACAGGAAAAAGCCTGTTTAATTCTAAGGGATGAAGAGAGATTGGAATATGGTCATGTTGAAGTTTTCGGGACACAAACCCACAGAAATGTTATAAGTGAAATAATTTTAAAAATATTCTTCCAGGGGCATCATTACTGTGTCTTGCCCAGGGCCCCAGACTCACTAAACCCACCCCTGTTAATACCTATGTCTAAAGGTTTGTAGACACCCGCTCATCCAGCGCTTCCTCTGAAGTTAATTTGTGAACAGTTCACAAATGAATTCACAGATTAGGAGGAGTGGATATTTTTGAACATACAGGGCTGCCCTGACATGGATGAAGCCTAGCCTTGGACTAAACTGCAGTGTCAATGGTAATTTACCATTCAAATTCTGTTTAGTCAAAGTTTAGGCTTAACATGGGTCTGGGAAATGTAAAATGGCCCATCACGTATCATTATTGCTTTTCTCTCTCCTGTTTCTCCACTGTCTCTCCAGCGCCCTCGTGTGGCCACAGCGCTCTCTGCCTGTAGCTCAGTCTCCTCACTGTTCTGGCTGTAGGCTGTTGATATATAGTCCTGGCTTCAGTCCCTGAAGGCCTGATGTGCTGATGTGTTCTGCACTCCTGGGACTGCCTGCTGCATTAGGCTCCTGATAAATACTGACAGCCCGCTTTGTGCATGACTCCTTTAATCAAATGCTGATGGTGATATTGACGAGGGCAGCTTGGACTGGTGCCAGAGTCTGTCTCGCGCAGACATTGTCTGTTTTCTGCTCGCTCTCCCACACACATGCAAAAGGATCTATCGCGTCAGTCAATAAAAATAAAATAAAATAATCAGCCTATTTATATCCACTGCAAATTCTCCGTGGTGTCCTCACTCCTGACTTCCTGATTATTTTATACATTTTCATCATCACTGCTGTCAAATTAGTAAAACGAGATTCATCAACAAAACAATGCACAGCCACTTCCACAGATATTGATTCTGCTGTGAAGCCTGGCTTGCTCCAGAACAGAGGGACTTTTACTGTGGAAAGATTTATTGGGATTCAGATACAATTTCACCCACAGCATGTGAGTGTCTAATAGGTCTCTTGTTAAAGCAGAAAGGCATTACTGATTGTTGCTGTGTACAGTAAGTACAAGACAAGTTACAAGATGAGGCACAAATACAGACCCACATATAACAGACATGTAGAGTGCTGAATGATTACCTGGAGTATTATCATTAAAAGGTGCAGCACTTAACCAGAAGCAGGGCAACTGATCACTGACCTACCCAATCAAATGGGGAAAGAATATTGATTATGGAGATTCTTTAAAGATGAGTAAATCTGATTTGTTTTCTGTGAGTGCTGTCACTGTATTTCGGTCAATCAAAATCATGATGATCTCCACCAACCTCTGCCCTCTTTTCATAGCCTCACCCCGGTTAAAGCAAACATCTACCATTATTTCAGTGCATTGAGTCATCAAAAGGTAAGACATATAAGGACCATAAACTTTTTCTATGCCCACCCTGGCACTACACTGCTGTGTACAGTGATTGGGTGTAGGTTTTTAAGGTTACTGCGTTTTCTCATCTTTGTACATTTTGAAATGATGGAATTCTAATTATTACATACTCATTTATTTCTTACCAGCAAATAAGTACTTGTAACATATGCATATTCAGTTCTTACACAGCCATTTGCACTTGTACATTTAAGAACTCCATTTCCCTGATTACTAATAATGTTTTTAGTTGTTGAAATTGAATTTTTGATATCAGAGATTATAGATTAAAAGCTAAAATGGCTTTCCATTCTCAGACTACTGAGGACAGCAGTATGCCTACAGTCTGATGCAAGGGAATAGCTAGAATTGTTAAAATGGGATGCACGGGTGAGACCCACCATTTTACTGGGGTGGCGCACTGCAAAGAATAAAAAAACCTAAATAAAAAGTGATACTGTATTAAAATGACAAAATGTGATGCATTGTTTTTTCTCTGTACATAACTAAACCTATCCATCATTCAAATTTTATATCCACTTAATGTTGATGCAAAATTTTGTTAAACTGAAAGACAAAACTGTGTTGATATAACATTAGTGATTCATGAGTAAAGGATGTATTTGAATCATGTAAATTAAACACATTACTATTGTTCAAGGCACAGCATCTACTTTACTAAAAACACTATGTAGACAGGCCAGTGAAGGTATTATTAAGACTCACTACAGGTCATACATGAGTCTAATGATTAGAAAGCCAGCCAGACAACACTGTGTAAGGAAAGCTATCATGTAGTCAAAGCAATTAGCATGATAAACTACTACAGTTGACGAATTTTTGATAGTTTACTCATCTTACCATCGCACAGCCTAGTTCATAAGGTAGCTCATAGAGCAGCCCTGCTGTAGGGACCCGGCAAACATTCACTCACCTGTCTGCTCCACAGATTAGCCTAGTACAGCAAGTTTAACTATTAAATGCAGTGTCATTAGACTGATTGGTAACTACCCCAAAGGCAAATTTTCATAAAGCGTAACTGATGCTTTATTGATGATGGCTGACTTGCAAATTTTGATTTTTGACTGTCTAACTTTCCGTAACGGGGTTGGGCAGAAGGGTGGCCATGCTTCTTGCTAGGGCGACACTGGCCACCCCTGGCCACGCCTCTGGTCTGATATGAAATGTTATAAATAGTCTGGTGCTATTTTCCTTTACAAACATTTTTTTCTCTTATTGTACAAAACACTTGATTTGTCATCCTATATTGAGTTTGAACACTATCAGCATTCTAATTAACATACTGAACTTGGGCTGCCAGTGTGTGAGACCATAAAGAGCAATAGGTAGTAAATGGTCACTAAGTATGAAATAGTCATTGTGGGTATGCAGACTGTAATTCCACAAATGAGGCTTATACATTTATATTAAATCTGGTATTTTTGGAGCATTTGATAATCACTCACACCTAACAGCATCCATGTTTGCTGCTGTAGAATTCTGTTTTTTGCCTTTATAACAATGAGTGCTGATTGTGAATAGTGAGATCAGGTTTTCAAATCAGAGTGTATTTAAGCCTTTAAAGCAAACTCTAAGACAAAGGCAAAATTTATCAGTATCTTACAAAAGCATACAGTCTCTTTCCTCCTGAGCCGAAAACCACACATGGTGTTTCACATGAACACACGCAGCACTTGCACATCGGTATAAAAGGGGATGAAGAAATTGAGCTGTAGAGTGTTTTGCAGTGTAACAGTATATCATTTCAGGCAATTCGTAATTTCCTGGCGTTTATTTTTATTTATTCTTTTAACAGAACTGTACAATTTGTACCCAAAGTAGTTCATACAGCCATTTTTTTCTTTTTTTCCTTTTTTTTCTTAAAAAGCAACAAAGCAGCAAACACTCCAGGAAACCAAATTTACAAGGAAAAAGGGCAAAAAATGGTTAAACTTTTATACAGAATGAATCTGCTGAACTTTAATATCTGAAATTAAGGTCCTGTACAGCAAATATACATTAACTCTCTAGAAGGGATTCTTTATTTAATTTTTTTATCCTGCATAGGATTCTGTACATTGTCGTTTGTCTACATTTGGTTATTTTGTGCATTCAACATTAGTACGCTGCCTGGCCCTGTTGTGACACTACATGTCACAATGTATGCTATAATTACATTCTCATAGCTAATTGTACAAAGAAAAGAGCTAACACTTTCCTCTAAAATCCAAAACATTACCGCAGAACAGATGTGAAATCCTTAGAAACCTACAGTGACAATGAATGTAGGTTTCTTTAGCAAATGCCTGACGAACAAGACATTTTGTCAAGGCAGCCTGGCAGCGACCTCATGAAATTTTCCATACAGTGGGTTGCCAGGTCTTCACCTATCCCTTCAAAACAACTGCCACAAAAAAAAAAAATATTGATCACATTTCAAGGTACTTAGTAGCAGTGCTCTATAGAATCTTCAAAAGGCCATTATACTTCAAATACATTTACGTAACGCTCTGTTCATTCTTGCACCATGCCCCGTCTTTTCCTTTACACTTCACTTGGTCACAAACTCCACACTTGGTGCTGCCCAAAACCAAACGCAACCATCATAATCCCCAATATCCACAACCTGAGGAGTCAAGTGTTCTTTTCCCCTGCTTGCTCGGCCTCTGCCTGGCTCCTGCAGTAGGGAGAGCAGGGATTTGCCAGCAGTGCTTTCAGTCAGGGAGCCAGTGAAGGTTGTCAGTAGGAGATGACACTGGAGGAGGCGGGGCTTGAAGCCAGGTTGCCCGAGGAACTAGAGCGTCTCATGTGGGGCAGCAGATAAGAGTCGCTTCCCAACTGATGTACATCAAAGCGATCTTCCTTTCTGTAGGCAAGACACCGCCGGATAAATGCCTGCCAACCACAAATAACATCACTTGTTAGGCAAAAACTTCACGAAAAATGCCTGAAGACCTGACAGTTTGCTGCAAACATGGAATAGGACATGCAAAAGCTGCGACTGTTGCCATTTAAAATACCTAACTAATTTATTTCTGGTGGCATTAATGCTATGTTGTAAAAACTGCAAAGGGGATACAAGTCATATCAGTCAGTTCTACATGTACAACACTAGAGGGCAACCTTGTAGCATTTCTGGAAAACAAAGAATTCCAAATACTACTGTACTACTAATTACTCTCTCAGTGTTTATCATCTGACCACTAAAAAAGTGAAACTCACTGACCTTTGCCTCATTGCTTGCCACAGGCTTGACAGGGAACTGAACCTCAGTGGCTTTGAGAATAGTGTTTTCCTGCAGGATATCCTGCTGTGACTGGTTATGGCCAAATGGCTGAAACAGAAAATCATTTTTTTTTAAACATCTGCTTGTTATCTCTTTATAAGGAGATTTAATAATATAATACTAGAATAGAATAATTCCATTTGTAGTGGTCCTTACTGGGATACAGCAAGTTTAAAACATTTTTTTTGCAGTAAGTTTTGTCTTGCATTTGACACATTCAATGGGAATATTCACAACCTTTCTGCTAATCCATGGAGTCCACTTACCTTCCGTCCATAGAGGCACTGGAAAAAGATGACTCCCACAGACCAGACATCCACCTTGTTGGATATCTTTGGAGGTTCCTTACCCACAACAAAACACTCAGGAGGCAAGTACCTTGAAGACACAACCATAAGATCTTAGACAGAGATCACACATGTTGCACAAAGCTGGACCTGTGCTAGTATTTTGAGTATATGCATATTAATGTGTGTGTCTCTTCTACCAGTAAGTTCCAGCTCCTTGCGATGTCAAGTCCATTCCGTCCACTCCGTAATTGTCATCGTCCATGATTTTAGATAAACCAAAGTCTGTGATCTTTATTTCTCCACATGCTGTTCCATCCACTAGCAATATATTCCCTTAAGAGAACAATATGGACATAATAAACCATCCAGAACAATCATTGTGTATACTGTTCTTAAGACAGGGTGTGTGTGTGTGTGCATTCTTCATACCTGGTTTAAGGTCGTAGTGTATTATAGGAGGCTTGATCTCATTCAGGTATCTTAGTGCATTAACAATCTGCATAACAATTGAACGAGCCTCTTTCTCAGACATCAGCTTGTGCTGTTTCAAGTAGAAATCCAAATCGTTGCCTTCACAGTATTCCAGAACCGTACAAAACCTAAAAAGAAATAATGATAAACCAAATTCATTAATTAAACACAATAAACTTGCAGAATAAACGCAATAAACTAGATCACATTTTGGAGACTTTACCTCTCTTTCAAATATCTAACAGTAGGAAACCTAAGCAAAGGTTTTCATCTATAAATAAATCTGAGTCATATGGATGTAGCTCTTGACCCAGTTTCCAAAAAACATCATAGAGTTAAAGAAACACTGCAGCCAAATAACTAACAGTGCCAAGTTTACAGGGGGTAAAGTTGGCATTATGCAAGTAAAATCATGCTAGATTCGATTCACTGTTAGCTTATGACCCACTGAGCACTTAAAGTCTATGTGAATCAGAAATCTCGACATCATAACTGTTTCCTTCGTACCGTGATGCATTTCTGAGCGAAACTCCTTAGGAAAGGCTTTGAGCTAGTTCAGTGTTTTCGCTCAGTGATAATGTGTAGGTGGTGGGAGGGAGGAGGCGAAAAATGAGATAACTGGGTAATATAATTTTTCCTTGCCTGCTGGTGCATGGTGACGTAGCCAATTATCCGAAGATGGACAAAAGCCATTACATTTTGATGGAAGATTATGACAAAATAATAACAGTTTTTTTAAATGATGTGATATATGATAAAATAATGTGACCAGGGACACACTCTTAATCTAGGTTATTAGAGTGTCGCCACAATCTCAGGACAACACTGTGCTACACTGTTTTTAGAAAATGTTTCCATGGACACTCTATAGCTGGCATGGTGGTATATACACATATGAAGCACAGTAACGACTTTAAACACTGGGAAGTACTTACGTGTCCGTGTCCAGTGAGAAATAGTCATAAAGCTTGACTATTCGTGGATGATCCAGCTGCTTGTGTATTCTGTACTCTCTACAGGCATGTCTGTATGAGAGAGAGAGAGAGAGAGAGAGAGAGAGAGAGAGAGAGAGAGAGAGAGAGAGAGAGAGAGAGAGAGAAAAGAGAGATAGAGAGAATGATATTTGTTTGAGGATTGAGCAAGATCATGCAAGAGATGGAGAGGGTGAGAGAGGTTACCATGGGCAACAGAGCAGAGGTGAGCCCCAGGCAGGCAGACAGTCAGCCAGCCAGCCTGCCTAGACTAGATTTCCAGACATTTACAGCACAGTACAGAATACCAACCAGACTGGAAATACCTTATTACACATATCAATGCCTAAACTCACAACTTGCATTGCTACTAGGGCTGCAACAAACAACTAATTTGATAGTCGAATAATCTATCAATTACTGAAACGAATTATCGATTATTCAGATTATGAATCACTACATTACCAAATAACTTTTACGTAGCTATTAGGTTAGGTAAATTTAGCTGGAGGTTGTTTGATGCATTTGCTAACTAACAATGAAAACTACAGATGTATAACATTCAAAAATATGTTTTAATGAACTTTCCTGCTAATACAAAAGATAAAAAAATAAAACTCCAATACTGTCAAAATGTATAACCAAGGATGTGCAAAGTAGCAGCAATAAAATATAACAAAACTAAATCAGTTTTCCTTTCATCAAGTAAATAAAAAAAATCTATCTAAATTTAAATGTTAAATTTAAACTGTAATCTGTGCATTCTGCTGTCTGTCTACACTCTATTACAACTAAATTCTACCATCATAGGTCTTTATTGAAACGGAAGAAAGTCAGCATCTCTGTGTGCTCTTGTGAGAGCCCTGATCTCCTCCAAGAGCGGATACTACAGGGAAGATGTGCTCTGATGGAGCGGATGGGAAAGTGGCGAATGTTTGTGATAAACTTCTCTACGAACAGTTAAATTTGAACGATTTTGTGTAAACGCTTCATTTCATCGGTAACCCTTTGTCCGGCTGCCCTGTATGTTCACAGAGAACTGTTTGGAAACGCTCTCCTGTGTTTGCCGAATTTGAGCGCACTGGTGGCCTCGACGTTAAGACAACAATGCAATGTTTAAAACTGTAAGCGTTATCTGGAAAGTGAACATGGTCGCTGTGAATAACAGATACTTGCTTCTCTTTTACAACTCCATTAACGATACCAGAGAACACGCATTTCAAAATACAAATGTTACAGCTCAGCTCATAACATGAAGTAAGACGGAATTTAACACTAACATTCGCGTTAACTAGCTCGCTAGCTCAACTATTGCCGCGTCCCAAACCACACACTTCTGTACTTCACATACCACACTAATGAGTGCACTTCTAATGGTATATGCACTATTTTTACAAACTATTTAGGTTGCTAGTATGCGGTTTGGGACGGGGAGTATCTTACCGAGATGAATCGTTTTCATAGCCGACAAGTTTCCTTTTCAGATGCTCCTGCACGGAGGACGTGCTCCCGTGCAAGCTAAGGTCGGCTTTACATATAGCACAACTGACCTTTTTTTTGAGTTTAGCTCCACACTTTTGAGGATTTTGTTCTCGAGGCTGCCAGCGCGCTGTTGTTAACCCTCCAGTGAGCGGTAAAGTCAAAACATTCCTAGTGAGTGCGAGAAAGACGTGTAATGACGTCTCCAAACTAATCCACTATTAAATTAGCTGCCAACTAATTTGGTCGTCGATTTTAGTCGACTAAGTCGAATAATCGTTGCACCCCTAACTGTTACAGAAACCACATCTTTCTCACCTGCCAGTTTTACCAGCCTCTGGACATCAAAGTCCAGTGTTTCTCAACCCAGTCAGATGACATTTTTCCTCTCAACACAGCTGAACTAGATAATCAAAATACTAAACACCGCATACACTTGTGCCAAAGACAGAAAATACACCTTTATTACTATTTTTCACCTTGTGAAGGGAAAAGATTAGATTTTCATCATTATTTTTAATCAGAAAGTCGGTAATGGCAGACTGAAATTACACTTTGATAAACTCTCCTTGATGGCACATTAATTTAAGATGACACACAGGAGGGGGATCTTTTAAACATACTTGTGATAGTTCTCTTTCTTCTCCTCTCTCCAGTTTTTGTTGAGTTGATGGATTTTCACAGCTGCATACCGTTGTTCAATAAGGTCAAAAGCCTAAAAAAGCACCACAAAATACTTCAAATGAAACTTTGTTTAACATCTGAAATGTCATTCTCTCACACTTCCTCTCAAGCTTCATGCTGAAGAGGTTCATAGAGGTTCATGAGTATACCTTGTAAACTTCACTGAATCCTCCTCTTCCGAGTAAGTGTAACAGCAGGTAGCGCTCATTTAGAGTTGGGTGGTCTTTGAACCTGAGGATGCCAAGTTAAACAGAAATCATGATCAGACAATCAATCATGATCCTGTATAAAAAAGGCTACAAAGACAGCCATGGCAAAACAACACCCACATTTCAGTTACGAGGTAAAGGGAGCAGACAGGGAATTTTTTTAGGATAAGACAAAATCTTTTATGTTATAACATTAACAAGATTAGCACACATTAATTATTATGGAATTTAGTAATTGTCTTTTGTAATCTAAAATAAATAACACTGTTAAATGTTGTTCACAAAAAATGTTAAAAACATTGTCTAGAAAGATTCTGTGTATGTGTGGGTGCATCAGAGTGGCCAAAATGGGCAATAAGTCACTGAATTTTTAACATTGTTTTAATATATTTTAATACGAATTATGGCATCACTTGCATTTCTAAATCAATGCAAGTGAAATATATTGGCTAAATAATACATTTTACACAGAACTTACAGGAATGCAATTATGATCATGAGTAATGAAGTCTGACTTTTTAGAATTTGTTTACTCAACACTACTGTATGAATACAATGTGATGTCCAAATGTGTTCTGTTTTTACTAAGTTTTACCATCTCACTGACTAGTGATAAACTGATATTGAAGGAACTCCAATCAAAACAGCTTTATAAAATTAGAGCTTACAAAAGGAAAATCTTCCAGTGTTTGAGTCATAGTGGAAATGCACTAAATGTTGTAGGATAATGTCAAACATTTTTGAAGTGTTGCTATTGCTGAACTATAAATGTGGAATACACTACCATAGAGTTTTGCCAGTTGTAGAACTGTTCTTCACCTAGATAGAACTTTACAACTGTGAAATTATAAACGGTCACAACTTTTTCATCCTCCTCAGAAATGCTGCATGCATCCTTAATGTAGTGCTTATTATATGGAACAAAAAGCCCAACGACAGACAGTACCCTGAAAGGCATAAATAATGACGCAGCTATGAAGGAGGCTCAGTGTCACCATGGAGACGGTACTCACTGAGAGCTGTCCTCGTTGTTTATTCTCTTCAGCTCACGGATGTGAAGGTTCCGCACTCTCTCCAAGCGTTCCAACTCGGCCTGGATCTCAGCCTCCTCCTACAGCACAACCACAAACACCATCAATCATTCACTAACACACAGAGCACACAATACTGACCACAAGGAGAAAAAGTTCATAGAAATATACTCTCTCTATTCGGTTTAAAAATATGACATCAAGTATTAATAGCTGATCAGTCCAAGGCAGAGAACTTTGATTATTAAGAACCTGACCTTCTTGAGATGGCCAAGACGGAGCTTGAAAATTTCCTCCTGCTCGTGATACTCAGCTAAAGTTAATCTGCAAACAGAGACAGAGACATGCATTAGATTGTTTAAAGACCACAAAAGATTAAAAAATGTATTATAATCAGTAATTAACTAAAATACATGCTTTAATCTAATAGTTTAATCTACATGGTTCAGTCTAATCTGTAAGGTTCATTTAATGAATATTGGGAAAAAAAAAAGAAAACCTGCAGCAGAAACAAATGGGTCTACACTAGCAAGTGTAGATACTCACAGCTGAGGTAGGCTGGGTTTAAGGAAGGGGTCATTCTCTGCCCCATTGACGGCCTTGGTTTTGCGCTGCTTTGGCTCTGAGTTGGCATTAGGGGTTTGAGAGTTACTGGCTGAAGGGGGTTTCCTCTTGGCTAACAGCTTCCTTTGTCTCTCTATGTCCTCCCTCTGCTGGTTTATAGACTCCTGCTGCCTGCCGGACACACATAAACGAGTAACATGCTGAGGACCACACAAGCCATACAGCATGAACAGTGCCATCAATGTGTCAGGACTACATTAAGATCAGAAACACATCAAATAATATGTGAAGTTAATAGTCTGGAGCGTAAGGACAAGCTGTTACACCGTTCAGTAATACTAATTTACTTTGGAGATAGAAAGACAAAAACAAATTCTAACAAAATCACTTACTTGACAAGGTTCTGGAAAGCATATCCATCTGTCCACTGCTCAGTAAAGGAGGCTCCGTGTCTTACAGTGGTGAAGTGTCCCAAGCGCAACCGGTCCTGCATGCTCTTCTCCCGGCACGCCTGCTTCTCCTGGGTGCTCTGATATACCACACACACACACACACACACACACACACACACACACACAAAATAAGAGACTGAACATTCTATAGGATAGCCAATCCAAAAAGGATAAAATTAACAGGGAAGGTAGTATTTTGTAATGTGTCTTTACTGGCCCCAGGAGATACAGCACTGTGCACAAATCTTAGAAAGGCACCTCAGAAATTTATGTTTAAAAGCTATTTATTTGGGCTGTAAGATTCTTTTTTACTCAGAATAAGCCCAGGTTGGACAGAGCAACAGACTCCAGCACAAAATTTCACCCTCTTGTAGGAAAACAACTTTCCTCACCTTTTCAATGAGAAGTTTCTTGCTCATAGTGATGCACTTGTTTAAGCGCTCCTTGTACTTTTCAAGTAGTTTCTGTTGTTCATCTATTTGTCTCCTGAGATCACAGTTTGCCTTTGGAGATGGAAAAAAGAGAAGAAAACACATACCTATAAAGCACACCTACCAAACAACAGAATTTCAAAAAAGACACAGCATGAAAAAACACAGCAATGCTGCTTCTCAATGTCCTTTGCTCACCCGTAACAAGTCATCTATCCTCCCTTCTTTCTTCTCCAGGTCCAGGTTCTTATTGCTCTCCAAGGCAGCCAGCTTTAGCACAGTTAGATCAGTCTGAGAACAGAGGAAATCACACACACTTAACATACTAATTCTTAAAGGAAATGATGTAGAGATGCTCGGTTTACAAACCACTAGGAGATCTAAAAATGAGATCTAAAGCATAGAACAGTTTCTAGTCTAACCTGGATACTCTTTACAGCAAACTGCTTAGGGTGCATCATGTGGTCCCCAAAAGATAGACTGGTGGGTGATGAGCTGTTTTGCCTAACCTGAATCACAGCAGAATGAAAGGCACAACAGGGTTATAGACTATATATACTGCTCAGTGAAGAAAAAAGGCACACAAGCAGAATGCATGTGCAAGACATGTAAAACGTACACTAGATGCTGGTGCAGAGTGGGAATGTGAGTTCTGGGGAGAGCGAATGACTGGTGGTAAGCCGCGAACAGGACTGGACCCATTACCACCCTGTATCTAGAGCAAGAGAGAGGGAGAGGGGGATAGGAAAGAAAGAGATGGAGGAAGAGAAGGAGGGATGGAGTGAACTCTGTTATTTTTAAAATAATCTCATTCTCAGAGAATGGCACATTTTTATGGCACATGTTTCTATTTGTCTGCAGTGCACCACATCACTTTATATTCTCAGGAGGAAAAAATGGCATAGACAAACTGATTTTAATCAGTTCAAGTTTAAAGAGCGAGGAGACGCATTCAGGTATTTTTACATCATTCACATATTACCGTATTGTTCACTTTCAGTCAGCGAGTGATGAATTTGAGACTTACATCAAAATAGTCACTAATTTTGGTTCCCCGAACGATAGACTTCCCTAAGAAAAAAGGAAAAAATATGGTGAGCTGAGCAGTGAAGAAATAAATATGTAAAAGAATCCTTTCTGGCATAGCAAGAAAGCAAGTTAGAAAAAGTACACAAAAAAGCAAGAGAAAGAAAAAGATTTACCTTGGCTACTCTCTGACTGAATCTCAGCTTTTCTCTTTCTTCCTCTGGATGATTCAGAGTGCTTCTTTTCAGGGGTCTACAGTCCAGATCAGATTATAAAAGGGGTTTACACACAATTATTCACCTAGTGCTATTTAAATAATAAAACCAAATGAGAACATTCTTCTTAGGCAGCAGGGGGTTGGATAGTAACCGTACAAAAAGGCAAGTATGCCAAAACCATGCTGAACATCCTATAATCAATAAGCCCACACACACACATAAAATCCAGCTAGCTGAAGAATTTCAATAACTTTAAATACTTCATGACTTCTAACGTAACTCTACTGCTTGACTAGTTTCTTTCTCTGCAGGTTGGGGTGCAAACCTCTGCCCTGACAAAACAATGATACAGCACTGTTACACATGGAAATGAGACAATATTCAATTTCTCATAAATATACAATGCAACAATTTCCAACCATAACAGATGTCAACAGAAGCATAACCAAAACACCTGCAAATGGCCACAGAAAGGATCAAAAAGAACATTTTAAATCAAAGCAAAATGCTGACTGACAAGACTAGCATTAACAACATAAATGAACGGTGCTCTGTGTGATGTATCCATACCATTAGATTTGCAGCATACAGATCTATGCATTAATAGGAACTGTATTGTTACACCCCACTACAAACAGGAGAAGGAGAAGGATGCAGCAATCCTAGCAGAGACAAAGAGTGGCCAGCTGCCAGTACATCTTTGCATTCTGATCACCAAGGAGTTCACTCACTGCCTCAGCCTGGAAAATATTCTCAGCCACCTCCCCACAAAACACATATTTCTTCAACATGAGGCAATAAGATACCATTTTGTGGAAAACTGCAGATCGCATGAAATCAGAGCACAGTGCTGTTTCTGTCTGTGAATATGTAAATGATGAATAAATGCAAATCTATTTATGGCCATAAAACAAGCTATTGCCAATATTCAGACAGGGAGAGGGTAAAGAAAACTAGTTGATGACCTCAGTCTAACCAGTTTTGACTAAATATTTATTACATTACATATTTATTTGTCCGTAAGTCACATCAGGTCTCTCCTAACAGCACATCATGTGATTAGTCTAGCTGAGATTGGAAGTTCCTGCACTCGCTAAGAATGGAAGCCACAGTCCCTGCAGTAGTCACGAGACACCAAGACAAAGAGAGATGCAGAGAAAAGACCAAATGAAAGAGACTGACTTACTGAATATGCAGGAGAACTGCCTCTTTTCACATCAGAGCCCTATAGAGAGGTAGGGAGACATGGGCAGGGAGGAGAAGGGGGACAAGCAGAAGAGGAAAGAAAAGGGAAAAATAAGACATTAAAGAAAAACAGGTTCGGCAGAACAGACTACATGACCAAAGCCACTGTTTATAATTAGCCTTTAGTGACAGTGACTGAATGTCAGAGCAGTCTTAATGAGCGAGCTGGGCTGGTTATGGATGCGCCACACACTCCTTGCTGGCATTTTTGGGTCACATATGGGCACCAGCTCAGAGTCATGAAAACCCATGAAAATAAGATCACAATAATGTGCAATGCATGCGATTGTGTTTTTAAACCTTTTGAGGGAAAAACAGATTTTATATATTTAATTCACAATATTAGCCACATATATAATTATGAAAAAGATTTTCATATATTTGTTAACCATGTCTTCTACAGGGCAGTAGGTCGCTATATACCCTTCTGTTGATGTTTTTTTTTTTTGATACTCTCCCCTATTTTTGGGGGTTTGGTAATGGTGATGTTATCATTTAAGCCTGTGCTCTGTAACTCCTCGTACAGTAAATGTGTTGCTACCACGTATTTTGTACATCTTTAACCTTTTCCTCCTGAAGGGATGTGCAGAAAAATGATTACATGTGTGACTGCTCATCACTAAGCTATAAAACTGAATAGCAGAAATACATGTGGGCCAGTTAAGTGTAGGTGGGAAAAAGGGGGGAGCTGCTGCAGCACTCAAACAGGGCTGGTTCTTACATAAGCTTAATTCTGTCATCACAATTAAAATGTAAATCCAGTCATTGGGAACATCCTTCAACTGCATTCCATACCCACCTTCAATAACATAAGTAATATATGTATGTATGTGTAAATAAACAAATAAGTGGTTATGTATGATCTGCAGAGTACTGAGCGACAGAAGCTGTGGCTAGGACAGCATATGTAAAAGCATATGTAAAGTCCCTTTTTTGTGAAGTATTTACAATGAGTACTTTGAAGATAAAGGCTGGAGGTCATTCTCTGCAGTACTTAAGAGTATAATTAGGTATATAATAAAACAGAATAAGACAAAATGAGACTTAACAGCCATCTGGTGCCAGACATGGTCTTTATGGTGTTGTGTATTAGCTACAGACTTAGGTTTAGAAGAAAAGGCTAGGACTAGAGAGGTAGAACAGATTTTGGCTTCCTGAGCTGCTGGTGCTGTGCTGACTTTGCCATGTTTGATGTAATCTGTAATATTATTAGACCGTGCTGTGTGCTCGCTGCAGTGTTTGTGGTGCTGAATTTGTTGTGTACTAGGGTTGACTATAGTGGCTGGGTAATCCAACGTAGGTGATGTGGCTTGAAATCTAGACAGAAAGGGGTCAATTAGAAGATAAACAGACAATTGTAATTGTCCATCTTCACCTCTGTTAACCTTATTAGCCTAGTAACATCGTATTCCACCTCAAACCTTTTAGCTTGAAAACACATACCTCTCAAGTCTCGCGCACTGGCCACTGGCCACATTTGGGTCAGACCTCAAGGTCTCATACCAAACCTTTCATATGACATGTTTTTCAATTCTCTGATATATTCTGAAGAACCAGTTGCACATTCTGGAATATCCAAGCCTTCATTATTTTTTATGTTGGACTTAAATCCGCACTGAAGTCACATGATGTTGCATGGAGTCCAGATCTGCAAGACCACCAAATCAGCTGGCATAAAGGCTCCCAAAAGAACAGTATCTTTTATCTATGCCAAGTTAATGTCATATGTATCTGAAAATATCACTGGTCAGAAAGAATGGGATAGAGTTATGAATCAGAAAGGAAAGCAAGTAAACTGGAAAAAAAGCATGGGCTAATGTCATTTTGGCTTCACATAACCCCAATTATAAATTCATCCATATGAAAATCTGCCACAGAGCTTATCTAACACCCATTGTAAGACGCTTAATGGGTTTAAGTCCTCAACCCCACTGTAAGGACTGTCTATATGGGAGACAGGGGACTTTTATTTATGTGGGACTGCCCAAAAGAATATGCCTTTTCGAAGTAGGTATCGAACCTCTCTTCGTTGACCAACACACGTAACCCCGTAGAACCTGACCTACATTTGCTTAATGATGAGTCAAGATTCCCCATCATAGAAAGGAGTGAGAAAAAAAAAAAATTATATATATACACACACACATATATATGTAGACACTGTTAATACTGACTAGCTAGGAACTGAAACTGGATACTAAACAACATAAAATCTTTTGATATTATTCGGTCTGTCCCATAAAAGTATTGAATTATGATACGCAGCAATAGCGTGTACTGGCTTCAGTATTCATGGTGTTGTATTGTCTTTGTGTATTATCAGCGACATTTCTAGTGTCATTTGTTGCGCACTGCGGTATAGTGCTTCTGTGTATTAAGTGTAGTGTTAGCACTGTGGGTTGCTGTGCGTCTGTGGGAGTGTTGTGACAGGTGCGCGTGGTGATTGAGAGTGTAACTGCTGCATCATTAGAGTGCATGCTGACGTATGGGGGCATCTGTGTGCCTGACATCTGCGCACAATCAGCAGCTCCAGCCAGCACAGGACACGAGAGGGCTTTATGTGCCCCTCAGTCTCACTCTTTACCACTCTCTCTCTCCCCCTGTATCTCCTTTTGGGCTGCCTTCTTGGTTCTCTCCCCATTTTTTCCTCATTCCTTGTTTCACACCCCCCCATACACACACCTCTCTCACACGTTCTCTCTCCTGCATTACCAATTACCATCTTACCAAACTCTCTCTCCCTCATGTACTATCTAACAATCTGTTTTTCCCCAGCTCTCTCTCTCTGATATATGGCACAAGCAGGTGCACTATGCAGGGGGCAGAAGGGGGGGTGGGGTTGCAGACAGCGCTCTTAATGTCGGTGAGTCTCTGTGTGCGTGTGCATGCGCATGTGTTGGGGTGGTGCTTAGCAATGCTTAGGTTTAAGTCTGGGAAGTAAACACAGATGCAAGCTCACTAATCAGCCATGAGCCTAACCACACATGTATGTTCTCACATGCATGCACAGTAACACAGCATGCAAATTTGAGGTAAACTCTAAAGCTATGACTTTTAGAAAAGCATTCATTAAATGCAAATATATACATGAGTAAGAAATAAAGCAGAACATACCTCTGACTCTTTATCACTGGAAGACCCTAGGCTGCCAAAGCTATGATTCGAACATTCGTTGTTTGTTAAGCCCTGAAAAAAGAAGATTGCATAATTCATATACAGATTCACACATACCACCACAAACCAGTAGACTGGAGGAGACAGAAAGGAGGTCTAACACCTTGCATCAATACAGCAGGTGTTGATTACGAATTAATGACATCCCTACAGAACAGCACTAGGCAAGCGGATAGAGCCTACCGAGGGAGAACAGAGAAGCCACAAAAAGGAAAATCTTTCACTGGATACATTCATCTCTCAGTCTGGTTTCTACTGAGATTATTAGAAGGCTGTCTGCTTGAAAAGTACTTAAAAATTCTTAGAATGCCATATATCTCTTTTAAAGCTCAGAAGCTTCTTCTCATCAGCTCATCTCTTTCAGAAGTAATCCACTAAGAGACTGCAGAGGTGACAGAAGTGTAGGTGGAGCTGCTGCCATTTTGCTTTCACCCGTACAGCTTGTATCAGGGAGGAGAGAGAGTGCAAGAGAGCGAGATAGAGAGAGTGTGTGGATTCTAGGTCACTCCACCACTCACTTTGGTTCCTCCACTAGTGCTGCCAGTACTGCCCCCTGTACTGCCACTGACTCCTCCCATGAAGCGCGCCTCTAGGAGCTCCTGCCGGCGCGGGTCCAGACTGTGCAGCTCCTCCATAGCACCTGAGAACACAGACATAAACACACTGTATGAGCTTTACTCACACAGCTCAAGGCTGAGAAACTTAACAATACAAAGGCATATGGGCAAGCTGAAAATAAGATACACATATGCTTATATAAATTTTTTAACTTGTTAGTTCTTGTCACTGTTCATATTAAGCATGATTTATCATACCCCATTTAAAATATGCAACAGTTTAAGGTGTTACAGTTTGATATTATCATATGATAACTTAGACGAAAAACCCATCACGGTTTTACACTATTAAATAAATCTAACTCTATAACAATTTATTGTGAGGTGAGATTTCTAAGTGCAAAACACTCTGTGGTGGTGGTAGTTCTCATTGGGTTAAATTTGGGGAATTGTGCACTGGAGGAAAAATAAAAAGAGATACATTTTTCTTCCCAATGACACCCTGTTGTCATTAGCTAAAACAAACTGGCCAGTAGCTGTGTGAGTGAAGTTGTGCACTAAGCTTTAAAAAAATGTAAAAATTAATCGTGAGATACATGACGTGATTACTAGCTAACTTCACTAAAAGCTAAAATGAATAAAAAGCTTCAATCAGTTGCAAGTTTGCAAAGTTGTTTTTTCATTTGTTTGGTACTAGCCTTGTGTGATATTATTAACTTGCAATGCAGCATGTGTTTACAACAGATGTGACAGACTACCAGTGCTCAGTTGTCCCAAGTCCCCTGCGTGTGTGTGAAAATTAGTGTTTCAGGGGAGTCAAGAGGGAAGGGGTCAAGGATAAAACAGGCTGAGAACCAATGGTTTAAGGAATTATAACTCGTAGACAGGAATAGATGGAAATGCATTTTGTTCTGTATTTTGAAGAAACCAACAGTGCGGTAACTGTCCATCATTATGACAAACTGTAAAACCATGACGCAGTAACAACCCTAGTCAAGGTACGGAAGGAAAAAGCATTGTGATTTCCGATTTATGTTGACTTTGAAGTCAAAGTGAAACAGAAATTCTGTACTATATTTTAAAGTGAAACAACTCAATGGCAGATGCGAATGTTGAGGTGAAGCATGGTATTACTGGTTAATATTAATTTTCCCTGTCCACTGGTGCACGGTGAGGTAATGAAAAATAAGAAGACATTTTAGAGGCAAGCACAAGTTATTGCAACATAATTTTGGTCTTAAAATTACAAATTAATTGTACTTAATATGACCAGCAACCTAAATATGACAAGCCTCATTTGACCCCAGGTTAACAAGCCTCATTTGATCCCAGGTTAACTTTAGGCATAACAAAAATCTATTTAAAAAAATCAAATTAGAAAAACTCTTACATTTTTAATACATAGCTCTAAACTTTTACAGGCTCATATTTCTACATTCTACAAATATCAGAATATGGCATTAGTCAGGGCATCAGGTGTGCTGTCACAGGTGGCTGACCACTTTCCGCATGGAAATGAAGTCTCTGACTTCTCTAAAATATGGCTGTGAAGCACTTCTCCCTGTGTGGCTTTGGTGCACAGTCCAATTTTCCTACTAATTTTATTACAACTAATGAATGTTCTGTCAAATAAACGGTTATCTATTGCGCATGCAGCCATGTTAAAATACAATGTTTTATTGTATCAACACACACACAAAGCATATTTCCTCCTGTTTACCAATCCCCTAGGTTACTTACACACCCCTACCCCATACAGATATAGACACACACCTCAACAGGGCTGGAAGCCTAGGGATTTCATGATGGCACCATGCCCATAACAACTGATGAACTAGCCCCAAGAGATCACACCCTTCATTACTCAAGCTAACATATAACACTGCTATAGCTCAACATTACTGACCTCTCACAGGACTTATCTTTATCACTGGCACACTAGCAGACCTTTAAGAACACATTATATTACCAGTGTTAGTAACTTTATAAGAAGAGCTCTATGAAGAAATACAGCACTGACATTACTTCAGTTTTTCACCACAGTCCTGAATCTCGTAATTTATTGCGATGAAATTTTGTTACATGTCTAGGCAAGACAAAGCTTGGTAAATCTAAGGCATCTAGGGCAGGTTGGGGTTCATGGAATCAAATGCAGATGCAAGACAGTCTAAAAATATGCATTGTGAAAGCAGATTTCTGCTATTGGGTGATGAAGGCTAGTCTTCTTGCACTGAAACAGCTCAGCAAATTGAAACACATGCACATTTGAAATGACATTTGAACAGAAATAACACTGCGCCCACTTGGTCGTTTTGTAGGATTCTTTCCCTATTTTAACATCCACATTTCTTTTACTCCTACTCCATCTACCACTTGGTCTCACTCCCTCCCTCTGAAGCCCAGGGTTCAATCAGCCCCTCAGGCATAGAGGTCTGGATGTAGCTGTGAGGATCCTCCAGGCTACACAGAGCTGGCAATCTCCTCAGGGTCTGCCCTGCTGCCATCATCTTTCTCTAATGAGCCGCCATCATGGCTCTACAGCACCCACAATTGTAGGAGGTCAGTGCAAGATTACATCGAGCCAGTGCCACTGGAACACACTGCAGAAGCTAAATCTGTTCTTTCTGAACATAATTACTTATTTTGTACTCATTAGACTATTTATATTTCTTTATATTTTGTATAGTATGTGAATACTGTAATGTTTGTTGGACGACACAACTTAAAAAAAAACAAAAAACTGTTGTACTGTACACTTGCATAGGAACACACTAAAAAATGACAAACACTAAAGACTTTAACACAATAAAAAAATAATACAAAAGGCAATGTTGTATACAAGACACATCTGAAGGTTTAATTAATTTGTTTACAAAATAAATGTAGGTCTGCCTTAAATCAGAAATTAGTGTGAAGTGCTGGAAGTGAGTATTTACTGACCACAACAAATTTCAGAATAAACAAAAGGAGCACAAGGCAGAATTTAAGAAGTGCTGATGTTAATAACATGCTTACAGCATGTAATTTAGACAGACACTCAATTAAATGAAACAAGTAAGCTTACTAGCTCACCGACAGTGCTTAACTAAAATGGTACTATGTACTGAAATTTACTACTGAATAACACAGACTCAGTAGTAATGGTAATGAAGTACTTTGGTCTGTAAGATATAGGGGTGGGAAATATGACTATTATATGATTAATAGTCATATAATAGTCATATTAATTATATGATATAATATGATTATTCTGATACACAATATGCATTTCTGAGCATATCATGAATATTGTCAGAACACTGATCAACCGCATTTCATTATAAAGAACACAATAAGGCCTGTTTAATTGAATTTAATGCAATACTGTACGTAAAATGGTGAATCAAAATCAGTTTTCATAGTTTTTGATAGTTTTAAATGTTACTCTACTAGCATTTAGTCTGTTTCAAAATATTGTGATTTATACTGTGTATTAAGAAATTTTCTTTAAGTATCGCAATATACTATTTTTTCCCCATATTGTCCAGTCCCAGTAACATGATAGTATTCAATTTCAATACCTATCCAAACCTGAAAGTCATCTCTTATAACTTCCATCTTCTGTCACTAACGTGCTTCAAACCAGCTGTTGGTCATGCACTTGGCAATATAACAAAGAAAGTGACAAATCCCTCAACTATTTTGTTGTCTCCGGTGATGCTACATGAAGTCCATCACTATCCTGATCTGTGGCCAGCCCCAAGAATCCATTAAGAAACACAGGTTCACCATTCTTTCTGTCCTCACCTCAACCAGATAATCAAGGAACAAAACAGTGCTGTCTCTTAGACTATCCCCACTAGATCTGCGCTCCACTGGGACACGCTCCGATTGGCTCCCTCAGGTCCCTCCCAGATACCACCAGAAGCATCAAAAACAAACTGCTCTGACCACTTAAGAGGAAGTCGTAATTACAGAGGTGAAAGCTTAAGATTTTAAAGCCTTAATAAGGCATGATAAACCTTATTAAAATGGAATGAAGCCTCCACACATGGAAGGCACACTGACGTAAAAGTCTGCAACGTCTGTGCACAGCAGCGTTGCTCACGAAGACTTCCTGAAGTGATTCACACAAAGCTCACAAAAGGCTGGAAATCATGCCGCAACATCAGATGGCCTCTTTTTCATGCTGCACCGAAGTCTTTAAAGTGGTTCTGGATGTTTCTGTCTAGCACAAAAAATTAGTAGTTCTTTTAAGTTCTTGAGTGTAGCATTTTGGCATCAAAACAACTGTATCTCATATGGAACATGAATGTTTATGCCAAAAAAGTTAAATGCTTCAAAATGGTTAGCATTCATTATACATTAGATTTTTTAATAACTCAATTTTTTCTCAAAAGAAAACAAAAACCACACAGCACAAGCAATTTATGCAACTTCTGATTACATCCAATACAAAGAAATATAAAATTTGGCAACATGCAAAAAAAACCCTACAATTGAAATGCAACAGAAGTACCAAAAAATTCACAAAACATACACAAAAAAACAAAGATATTGGAACTTGAGAGGAGAGAAAAGTGGACTATCTAAAACGTGGTATTGAGTGGTGATTGATCAGAGATATATGCTGATGAACAGCAAGACCAAACAGAGAAACAGTAAGAATACCCCACAGTGAAAGCAGCAGAGCAGGAGAGTGAACACATAGAACAGAATATAATTATAAAACACTGGTCTTTCCTCATGTATTACTTAGCTCACACAAGAGGTTGGCAGCTAGCATCATTAAGCCCTCTTTAGTCTTTAACTTCATTTGACTCTACAGTAGATTATTCCCATAAAGCATTTAAGCTCCGTACATTCAGCTGCTTAATGCGCAGTTCTGTCTCACAGAAAGAACAGCAGCACTATTAACCACTCATTTACACACACAGCTGAAGAAAGAGCAGCAAAAAAAACAACATGGCTTGGCTCCCTCTCTCTCTGCCTTGGAATGGAAGAGAACAGGTGAAGAAAAAGGGCAGAGAATGCAAAAGGGAAGGGGAAAAAAAAAGCGCAGGAGAGAGAGAGAGAGAGAGAGAGAGAGAGAGAGAGAGAGAGA